TGATTTTAGAGAGAGAGGAAGGGAGAGGGAGAGAGAGCGAGAAACATTGATGAGAGAGAACTTAGACTGGCCGCCTCCCATGTGCTCCGCACTGGGCATGTGCCCTGACCGGGAATCGAACTGGTGACCTCTTGGTGCCTGGGTCGACGCTCAACCACTGAGCCACACCGGCCAGGCCACTGCAGGCTTTTGTTGTTTGTTTCAACTCCCAACTACCAGGAAGCCTCCCAAGACCCTGCCCCTAAGAGGTGTCTCCTGCTGGTACACCACCCCTCGCTCACATGCTCCCCTGCAGTACTGGAAAGCCTGCTGTCCGTCCCTCATCACCCACCACACTGGGACAGAGGTCTGGGCCAGGGCTCCTGTCTGGGACAAGGAGGGGATAGTCGAAGTCTAGGCGGGGGCAGAGAAATGTCCCTCGATGAATGTTGAGGTGCTTCTCAGTTCTGGTTTCAATGAGGCTGCTTTTGCCTGCGGCAGCGGGTTGGCCATATCTTCCCGCATAATCTTTTCAAAGAATGGTTTTCCTCCAACGGTGTGCTGTCCTCGGCCCCTGAGCAGGCAGCAGACAGACTTCTCAGAAAACCAGACACTGTTTCCCCGAGGAGACGCAAGACCTAGATGGAGCGGCCTCCGGGTCACTGAGGTCCCTGGGAGCTGACCTGGCTCTGTAGGAAGGGAGGACAGCAGGTTGCCACCCTCTTGGGACCTGGGTTTTCACACCGTACTGGGGTGAGTGGCCACCCCGCCTGGTGAGCTGGGCGAGCCTTCAGCGTCCCTGCGACCGACCGAGAGCTCGAGGTGAAGATCAGACAACCAGGGACTCGCCGCCCTCACTCTCACACCAGAAAGGCTTGGACGGCAAGAAGCTGACCAGCATTTCTAAAGCAAGTGCTGTAACAAGGGTCGGGAAGCATTCTAGAAGGTCATGAGCTATATTTGGGTCCCACAGGGCTGTCATGTTATCTAGCAGGGAAGACCGGTCAAGGGCAGCAGCCACAGGGCTATGGTCTGCGCTGTCCAATGTGCTGGCCACTAAGCACACACGGCTGCTTCTAGTTCAACTGCAGTGAATCAGCATTCAAGTTCACATCAGACTGCCCGGTGTGTCTCAGTGGTTGAGCGTCGACCCATGCACCAAGAGGACACCAGTTCAATTCCTAGTCAGGACACATGCCCGGGTTGTGGGCCAAATCCCCAGTGGGGCAGCATGCAGGAGGCGGCCAAATGATGCTCTCTCATCATTGATGTTTCTCTCTCTCCCTCTACTTCCTCTCTCTCTAAAATCAATTTAAAAAAAGAGGAAAAAAAAATTTTAATTCACAGCGTCAGAAGCAGTGGCCACATTTCAAGTGCTCAATAGCCACATGTGGCTTGTGGCTCCTGTCCTGACAGGTATGGATCTAGAATACTCCATCACAGAAGGTTTTCCTGCATAGGGTTGTACTACGTGGTAACTGCTCAGCAAATGGTATGGGGTAGAGAGATGGAAAAGAGGAGGAAAAAGAGAAAAGAGAAGGGAGGGGAGGAAGGTATTTCTTTGTGCTCCCTGACTTGAATCTGAGGTGTCTCTGATCACAGGAACATCTTTCCCCAAGCCCCTAAAACTGCTTGAACACATTCTGCCCTGAAGGTCTCAGACTTCAGGGCCTCACCTGGAGCCAGCCCCAGAAGATGGCGGGTAAAACCAGAGCCAAACTGGGCACCGGAGCAGCTCCGGACCTTCTCTGGCTTCTCTGAGAGCGGGCCAGACCAGAGACTTTCAGACAGTGCCCTCTCGTGGCTCCTCGCGGCAGCTTCAAGGAGATGCGCGCAGGCAGGGAGTGCCTGGGCTCAGATCTGATGACCACACAGCACGTCCAGCTTGGCCACTGCAGCAGTTATCACTGCAGTAAGGACACGTGGCTATGTCACTCATCTGGAGCACATCTGTACAGATTTCTGAATGACGGCACCGAATACTCCTCCATACCTGGAAGGAAATCATGGCTGCCGCCGCTGAAGTCCTCTCCTCCCTCCATCACCGTCCCCTGCCAGGTTTTCCGCTGCGGCCTCCGAGGAGGTCTCCCACATCCATTCTCGCCCTCCATTCCAGTCAACTTGATTCAGCCAAAGGAGCTTTTCCCAAATGCAAGTCGGATGCGCTTGTGATCTTTTAAAAACCTCTCACCGTCTGGCCCCTGAACCATCTTCTATCACTGTCCCCTTCCAAGCATGAGACTGTCACCTGGAGGCCTGCACACCGTGTACCTCTGTCCAGACATTCGCTCCTCACCCTTCGTTGCTAGGACACCTAGACTCATCTTCAAGTCTCAGCTCAGATGGCCCTGCCCCCGGGATCCTTCCCTGACCCTCAAGGCCCAGTCAGCAAGCCTAATCTTATCTAAGGTTCCCCAAAGCAGAGCCTGAGGCAAGGACGAAACACAAGTGTTTTATTGGGGGGTAATCCAGCAGGCTTGTAAGGAAGTAGGGAAGTGACGCAGGAGAGGAAGGAGCCAGGACAAAGGACATGACCAGGAAGGTGACCACTGTAAGCAGTCAAGGCTCAGTCCTGCTGGGACGTCAAGACAGTAGAGGACACAGCTCAGAGTGGGGAGAGGCTGGGAGTTTATCCACATCTTCCACCATCACCGGCGGAGGGCTGCTCCCTGGGGTGCCACTCCCCAGCCCATCCAGCCTACTCTTGCCCAGGCTCCCACAGCCAAAGATCACCCCAGTCGGGGATTGCTGGTCCTTGGGGCAACACGGGAATGTGGGCAGAATGAGACATGGACAATGTTCCCTGCACTCCCACACCCATGCTCCTATGTACTTCACTCTTAACAACACTCTCCATCTGCCTGAGGTCAACTCGGGGTTCAGGCATGTCTTCTTACACTCTCCCCCCAACGCCTGGCACATAGTAGGCACCAATGTTTGCTGACTGAATGCATGGTGCTTAATGCAGCCTTGGAGCACCCGAGATGTACCCAGAGAACACAGCTGTGCCCCCCCAAGGGAAGCCCGGAGGCCTCCACAACTGCCAGCTCACAGAGAAGGATGTGTCCGAAACAGCCTGCAGGGCCAGCCACTGGCCCGCTGACCGGAGCCTTCTTCATCCTGCATGCCTGTGGCACCCAGTCCTCTCCAAACTAGACTGCTTCAGGTCTCTGAAATGGACACCCTGCTCGTGCATCCTAGGGTCTGGTTCTTGTAGGAATCTGTCCGTTCCCTCCTGCCCGGGCAGCAGCAGAGGTCAGCTCATGGTGAGGGATTTCAGTGGTTTCTATTTTCCTCTTTGTACTTGTCTGTATTCTCAAAATCCCCCAAAGCAAATTGTACTGCTTTTCTAATTAAATTCTTTTTTCTTTATTGACTTTTTTTTTTAGAGAGAGGGAGAGGAAGAGAAAGACAGAAACATCAATGAGAAAGAACATCGACTGGCTGCCTCCTGCACGCCCCCACTGGGGACCTGGGCATGTGCCCTGACTGGGACTTGAACTAGCAACTTCTTGGTGCATGGGTCAATGCTCAACCCCTGAGCCACCCCGGCTGGGCTCTAATTAAACTTTTATTTGGGGATCATTGTAGACTCACATGTACTTACAAGAAACAATAGAGATTCCGTGTTACTCTTCATCCAGTTTGCCCTAGTCGGTAACATCTTGCAAAACTATGATATGATATCACAACCAGAACATTGATGAAAGTCAAGATATAAAATATTTCCATCACAAGGTTGCCTCATGTTGCCCGTGTACGTTCACACCCATTTCCTTCCCACGTCACCCACTCCTGACCCTGGCAACCACTAATCTGTTCTCCATAGCTATACTTTTATCATTTGAAGAATGTTATGCAGGACAACTAGATATCCACATGCAAAGTAATGAACCCAGACCCCTACCCTCACACCATATACAAACATTACAAAAAGAACTCAAAATAGATTTTAAAAATCTAAATGGAACAGTTAAACTATGAATCTCTTAAAAGACAGCATAGGTAAATCTTTGTGAACTTTAATTATGCAATGTTTTCTTAGAAATGACCATATGACCTAGAGAATAAGCAACCTTAGAAACATTAAACAGTTACCATATGACCCAGCATTCCTAGGTACATATCCACGAGAAATAAAAATATGTTCACACAATAACTTGTATACAAAAGTTCATAGCAGCACTAGTCACAATAGCCAAAATGTGGAAACAACCCGAATGTCCACCAACTAATGAATGGATACACAAGAAGTAGTCTCTCCATATAATGTAATATTATTCAGTCATAAGCAGGAAATGAAGAACTGGTACCTGCTACAATGTGGGCAAACCTTGAAAACTTTAAGCTAAGTGAAAGAAGCCAGACACAAAAGACCCACATATTATATGATTACATGAACATAAAATGGGCAGAATGGGAAAAGTCAGGAGTGGTCTTCAGGGGCTGGGGAAGACGGGAAGGAGAAGTGATTGCCTGGCAGGTACAGGGTTTCTTTAGGGGTGATGAAAAAGGTCTAGAATTAGATCGTGGTAAATATACTGAAAACCACTGACTCACATACTTTTAAAAAGTGTATTTTAGCCCTGGCCAGTGTGGCTCAGTTGATTGGACCGTCTTCCCATGCATTGAAGGATCGCGGGTTCGATCTCCGGTCAGGGCACATATCCAATACCCAGGTTGTCTCCACAACTGACCGATGCTTCTCTCTCTCTCCACCCCCCCTTCTTCTCTAAAATCAGTAAAATAAATGAAATAAAAAGGTATATTTTATGATATGTGAATGGTATCTTCATTTTAAAAATTCAATTCACATACAATTTTATGTTGTTTAAAGTGAGACCCACCTTAGTCAGATGCTAAAACCATTTCGGGTCCCTCATCCAGAGGGCCCGCTGTCCTCGCAGAGAGGAGAGAAACCTGGAGATGCCCCCGTCCCACAGTGACACAGAGGTAGAGAACAAGTCACTCCTTCATGATGGGAAATCATTATCAATAAAAAAGTGGCCACTTTAGAGTTTCACAAATAACATTTATTGACTACATTTATAACAGAATCTCACCCGCATTCACAGCAGCTCTGTGCGACCAAGCACCTCTCATGATAAACAACTTGGACTGAATCTTGGGTGTGAATTATGTGGGCTGAGAAAACAGAGACTATCACAGACTCCTCTGATTTAACAACTTTCATTAAGAGACCTTGATTATGATTGACATTTTTGCTGATGTTCTTGGTACTAGCTGAAGATTCCAACTTCAAACCCCCAAAAAATGGCTGGAAAGCAAAGAGAAAGGCAGTTACTAGGAACTGTCCTCCAGCTGAGCCCACACTGCCCTTGCGGGGCCTGTCCAGAAGCCTTCATGGGGAGGAGAGTGGAGAGGGATGTCATCCAGGTCCCCCGTGCGCTTAGTCCTGAGGAGCCCAGGCAGGAGAGGGGTGCTGTGAGGTGACGCCGGGGTGCAGCCTCAGCTGGCTCACTTTTAGCCATGGGACCTCAGGCGAGTCACTCAACCCCTCAGAGCCCGCTCTCTCCTTCTAGAACAAGGAAGAGAGTCCCAGCTTTGCAGAACTGGAAAAGGAATTGAATGAAAGAAAAGCTGTAGCATGTCTGATCAAGAAGGCAAGTGCTTGACCTAATCACTGCCCCCCAGGGCTCCCTGTTGGGAAGGTTCTGAGCTCGCCTGCCCTCTCGAGGCCTCCCCAGTTCCAGCAAGTCTCTGCCAAGCCAGCTGATGGGCAGCCGGCGGCTTCTCCTCAGATAAGCTGGTTGTGTAGTGTAGTTTGGGGTATCTCACGGAGCATCCCACACACACCCCAGCTGCAGGATATCTCTCCTACACAGCTGGTTGGCACATGCACCTCTGCCCTAAGAGCCTGACTCAAAAGCAAACACTTCCTATAAAAGCATCAGCGATTTTCCTTGGGGCCTACCCTCACCATCTACTTAACAGTCAAGCGTCTTTCTTTGTTCTTCCCAGAGTGGGTACAGGGGAGTCCAACTAAATTTGACATCGAGTTGGCAAACATAAAAATCAAGATGAATCTTCACGAAAAGCAGAGAAGGGGAATCTCACAATGCTGACCTACTCATGTTTACAGGTCATGCCAAGCTGACGAGCCCCTGCCCTGGCACCTTTCCTGGGAGCACACGCCGAGAGGTCGTGCCCCAGGTCACTGGTAAGGGAATGTACATCACAGGGCTGTCTGTCATCCCAGAAAGTCCAACACTATGAGGACAGACAAGCAGGACACAGGGGAGAGGGACTGTGACAAAGACAAGACTAACCTGCCACTGACAACTAGAAAAATGGGGAAATGACATCTACAACTGTTTATAGGTACTGGACATTTTCTAGAATATTCCTCGTACAATTACACGGAGGAGACAGGCAATTCAAAAGCAAACAAGCCAATACATGTAAATGAGAATGGCATGCATTTCCATATTAATATGTATTGGCATGTCTTCTATGTACACAGACATGTGTTTATGTGTATTTACACAGAGGTTGGATGAACAGGAATTGGGCGAGATGGGGTAATGATCGGGAAAGAATGGGTGAACTGGGGTGGATTGAGTTTAGAGGAGGAAGGCTTTTGCAGAGGAGACTAAAGAAAGAAGCTGGGCAAGGGGAGGCCCTACCTTGAGCCCCCGAGTCACCCTGGAAGCTTCCTGGAGGAGAAACTCAGCAGGGTTCCAGGTAAGAAACAGGGGCCTGTTCCAGGCTGGTGGCATCCAGACTGGGGACTTCCCAAGGTAGAGCCGTGACGGCTGGGGCAGGGCTGGCCGACAGGCAGCAAGGCATCACCCTAAAGGTGTGGCCAAACCCCAGAAGGCTGGCTGGGCGATGAAATGTACAGGAGCTGAACTGGTGGTCTTTTGGGGCAGGAGGCTCTTAGAACTTGGGAACAGGGAAGAGGTGAAGAAAGGTGGGCGGCCCAGGTGCCCACTCCTCACCATCAGCTCTCTCTTATCCGCACTGCTCTTCCGTTAACCCGGCTGGAATGAGAAGACACTGGCGTTGGGGAGGAGCAAGACCGGACAGCGATCACACGTGACAGTGATCATGGCCGCACCCACTTCTCACCCTTCTGTTGAACTACAACCAAGTTCTGCCACATCCTTGACTCAACTAAACCCCAGCAGCCCCTGGGGGAAGCAGCCCAGGGAATAAGGTGGGTCTAGGGCACCTCTGCCCCCACCCGGAGCCTGCTCACCGAATGATCTCAATGGCCCTCAAGACAGTCTGGAGGAAGGTCAGGAGGCTGAGGCAGAGAGGCAGGAAGGGGGTCTGGAGGCTTGCCCTCCTCCCCGGGGCCAGCGGCCCGTCCTGGTGCAGGGCCTGGAGCTGCAGCCACTTGAGGAGGAGGCGTCTGCTGCCACAGATCCGCCAGCGGTTGTGCCAAGAGTGTGAATCCAGGGGGGTTTCTAGGCAGAGAAAGCAAAACAGGCCCAGCCTGGGTGTGGGGACAAGCCCGTCCTAAGATTGTACACTGCACACCAGACAGCCCTCCAGAACCCAGGGCAGGAAGCCAAGTGTCCCAGCAAGGTGGATCACAGCCCCGGGGTGTGGATACTGAACCAACACTCATCTAGATAAAGAGAGCTGTTTTCTTTTTTTTTTTTGGTACGTGCCCCTAGTGGGAACCGAACCCAAGACTCTCTGGTCCACAGGCCAATGCTCCAACCGCTGAGCCAAACCGGCCAGGGCAAATGGATAAAAAAGCTGTGGTATATATACACAATGGAGTATTATGCAGCTGTAAGAAAGAAAGATCTCTTGTCCTTTGAGACGACATGGAGGGACCTGGAGAGTATTATCCTAAGCGAAACAAGCCAAGCAGAGAAAGACAAATATCACATGATCTCACTTATTTGTGGAATATAATGAACATAACAGTCTGAGGAACAGGGTAGTCCCAGAGATGTGGAAGTTGGGTACAGACTGACAATCCCCAGAAGAGGGGGTGGGAGGAGAGAGATAAACCACAGAACTTATATGCATGTGTGCATGAACAATGGACATGGACCACAAAGCTGGGGACAGGGCGGGGGAATCAGTGTGTGTGTGTGGGGGGGGGAACATCTGTAACAAAAATTAATTAATTAAATTTTAAAAAATAACAATAATAAAGAGAGTTGTTTACTTATTTCCACAGTGATCATGGGGTGTCCTGGGGTTTTTTTCAGTCTTTATCTTTTAGAGCTGCATACTGAAATATGTATGGATGAAGGTATACGGAATTTAGCTGGGATCTGCTACACATTCATCTTTTTTTTTCTTTTTTGAGGGGGGAACAGACTGGGTGAAGCTCAGATGAAACCAGGTTGGCAAGGACCTGATGATTGGAGCTGAGTGATGGAAACATGGGATTTATCTGAGTATTTGAAATTTCCCAAAATAAAAAGTTAACAATGCCTGGCCAGTGTGACTCAGTGGTTGAGCAATGACTCATGCACCAAGAGGTCACCGGTTCAATTCCTGGTCGAGACACATGTCCAGGTTGTAGGCCAAATCCCCAGTCAGGGGCATGCAGGAGGCAGCCAATCGATGTTCTCTCTCATCAATGTTTCTATCTCTCGCTCCCTCTCCCTTCCTCTCTCTCTAAAATCAATAAAGAAAAAAAAAAATTATTTAAGCTAACAGCAATCACAACCCCGTTGGATTCCAATGTTCCCATCTCCTTGACACTCTCTAGCTTTCTTGACACCTGCTTTGTAAACATGTGCCCTTCTGTATTACAACTCATTTATGTGTTATAGTATTATTAGGCTACTAGCATAAAATGTACATTCTAATTATACTGATATGAAGGCACACTATTAATATAAAATATAACAAATATATTTTCCTTATAAGGAATCTACCACAAAAGCATTCAAAAAAAGCAGATGAGCCCCCTCTTTATAAGGAAAGTACAAGACGAGAAATATGGATTTTCTCTTTAAAATAGAAATCAGCTGGACAGGAGGCCCAAAGAAACACATTTAAGTTCCTGTGTGTGAAGCTCGAGAGGAGCCCCTCCCCTGCGCAGTGGGCCCCCCCTCTCAGTCCTGTCCTGTGGACACCTCTGGCTTGAACGGATTTGAGGGCTTGGAAACATTATTAATACTAACGGCCTGAACTATAAAACAAAGGCTGGAGTGAGTTAATATTTTTTTAACAATGTATCAGTTGGCATAAACGATTCAACAATAACCTAACTGAGCTTTTAGCTTTTCTTAAAGATGCAGAGTATTATTCAAAGCCAAAAACCACCTAGAAAAATAACCCCATAAAATGTGTGTGATTATACAGTTAGAATAGCAGTTTGTCCTACTGTTCTTCTCCTACTGGTGTAGAGTTGTTTAAATAAAATGACTGGGGCTCTTTTACCTGAAACTATAGCGAATGTACTGCTTTCTACTTTGTTCACTACGCACCCCACGCCCCACTCCAGTGTCCCTTTGCCCGGCTTTCCCGGCCCTCTTCCCCGCCCGCTTCCCTGCCCTCATGGGTCACCAGTAACTGTCAGTTCAGACACGTACCACCCAGCCCCTATTTGCATCCTAACGGGGTTTTTGCTTGTTAAATTTACATTAATGGAGTCCTATTGTATGGGCTACAGAGACTTCCTTTTGCTTTTCTATGTTGCCATGTGCCTGGGGTGGGGGTGGGGGTCCATTTCATTGTCCCTATCAGCTGCAGACTCTAGGTGGCAAGTGCCACACTTCAAATACACCCCCACTGATGTCCATCCTCCCACTGAGAGATCCTTATGTTGCTCCAATATTTTGCCATGGAAATTACTGCTGCAGACAGGGGTGCGTGTGGGAGTGTCTACAGATATGACCCAGATGTGACTTGCTGGATTAAGGCTTATACACATTATGAAATTTGATGGACACCTCCAAATTGCTCCCGTGACAAAGGCTGTGATCATTTACACCCCTCCTAATTGTGTTACTTTTATAATCAGAAAAAAATAGGAATCTTTTTCAACATGAAGAGGCGGGTGTGCTGGGTACTGGCCGTTCATGTCCCAAGCACCCTCCCACCCAGCTCCTCTTGGGCTCAGAAGAGGCTGCTCGGATCACTCGCCGTCACAGGCACCCTGGTGTTGGTCCTCTAACCTCTCGGTATCTGTGCATTTCCTCCTGTGTCCACAGATTCTATCAGCGGTACTCTGGCTACAGCACGCCAAAGGGCGGACGTGGTACAAGCCCACAAAACATGTCCACTCTGCTCACATGCAATGCCATCGGCACCAGAAAGGGACTTCAGGAGCAAGTCCAACCCGCTCATTTTACAGACAAAGATGCCACCTCCTTGCATAGTATGATATGGGTGTATAACTGAATATATACTGTGAATATATTTTGTCATGAATATATACTGAATTGTAAACATATATGTATGTACTATGTCTGTCATGAATATATGAAAGTATATATACTAGGTCACAAATGTGAGTGTATAAAGATACTGTGTAATGAATATATGCATAAATATGGTATCATGAACATATTAGTTATGAATATACAATGTAGGAATGTGTACTATGTCATGAATATATCAATACACAATCATAAATAAATATATATATATATATATGTGACACACACCATGTCATGAATTACAGATGATTAGAGCTATTAAAAAAAAAACCACACACTTTAGCGGGAACCGAACCTGGGTCTCTCTGGTCTGTGGGTGGACGCTCTAACCACTGAGCCAAACTGGTCGAGGCAAAAAAACCACACACTTTAAATACCATCTAACTCCAGATTACAAATTGGTCTCATCTTATAACCCAATGCGGAGAGACTGGCAGAGTCTGAGGCTTCCCTGCATTCACCGGGAAAAGGTGGTGGGTGACTAGTGGCGCCTGGCAACAGCAGGGTAGGAGAAGTGTGGTGCATGCCAGTGTGTGGACGTCTGTGTGTTACAGGCATGTGGGATGAGAGCGGTCTCCCCATCCCCTTCACAATGGTCCTGAGACCCCGCCTTCCCAGGGAGAGTTACCTGTAATGCCTTTACAACTCGGCTGCCTTTTCACCACCTAAAAGAAAAGCATGTGGGCAAATGTGACCACCCTGGTGATCCGTGGCGGGGAGTCCTTTGGTCTGGAAACCACCAAAGGGGCCTGCATAAAACACCAGCTCTGCTCTCCTTTTAAAAGGACTCTGGGTCCTAGTTCTGGGGACAGTTTACTGCTTGATGATGGAAAACCTGCAACTGGAACGTGGGCGAAGGCAGAGAGAAAGCCTCTAACTACCACCCAGGGCACACCTGGGAGAAAGGGTGCTGGGGCTGAGGCAGGTGGACCTGGCCGACCTGCAGTCGCTGTCCTGTACCCAAAGCTCTGGAGGAGTCAAACTGAGCAGAGTGAGGACAGACTCAGAGCGATGGTCCTTCCCTGACACCCTCCCTCCACCACCACCCACCATGCCTGCCAGGGCTGGGACTATAAGCACAGGATGCTCAGACAGGCTGAGGAGCCGGAAGGAGGTGTTGGAAAGGAGGCAAGGAGGTGAGCAAGCAAGGTGGTGGAGGAGAGGGGAAAGAGGAGGAGGAGGAGGGGAAAGAGGAAGAGGAGAAGAGGAAAGAGGAGGAGGAGGTGGTGGGAGAAATGGTGGGAAAGAGGGCAGTAGAGACAGGCACCCTGTTCAGAGAGCAGTGTACCCCTTTCCCAATCCCCACCAGGACACATGCCCTGGCCTCATCCCACACACCACCTCTGTTCCTTTGCCATGGCTTTCAGAGAATCCCCTCCTTACAGGACACCAATGGAGACCTCTGTGGGGAAAGAACCCAGCACCCTCCCCCCTTTTCTCTGTGTCTTCCCAAAGGCCCACCCTCTCTCTCAGGCCCCCTGCTGTGTGAGCCTCCCTCTTACCTTCTTGTAAGACCTCAGGACCCGGGGCACCCAGTAGGGCATCACAGCCTGATCCCTAGGCACTGGGAGGCGGCCCCCAAAGCAGTGACCTGGGCAGGGGCATGCCTTGGTGGCTTTGGGGATATCAACCTGGACCTTCTTTTGGATCTAACAGAGAGGAAGGGAAGAGAAGGTTCAAAGGGGGATGGAGCTGTGCCCCAGACAAACTTGGCCTCAAGGACCAACCTGATGAGCTCCTCTATATTCCCCCCACAAGGACACTCCAACCCCCAGCCGAGGGAGCAGGTCTCCTTCTCCTGACATTCTGGTGGGAGGCACCAGCACCTCTGTGGTTCCTCTGCCCTCACTACCCACCCAGATCCTGGCTTCCCTAACCCTAACCCTGGACCCTAATGTTTGAGGAGAATACCTCGTCTAACTTGGTTACTGCTAAGATGGCGGGAGAAATGGTGGGAAAGAGGGCAGTAGAGACAGGCACCCTCTTCAGAGAGCAGTGTATCCCCTTCCCATCCCCGCCAGGACACATGACCTGGCCTCACTGCACACACCACCTCTGTTCCTTTGCCATGGCTTTCAGAGGGCCCCCTCCCCACAGGACACCAACGGAGGCCTCTGTGGGGAAAGAATCCAGCATCCTCCCCCCTCATTTCAGGGACCCTCCAAAGGACCACCCTCACTCTCAGGCCGTGCCCTCTCTCTCAGGCCCCCTGCTGTGTGAGCCTCCCTCTTACCTTCGTGTAAGACCTCAGCACCCGGGGCACCCAGTAGGGCATCACAGCCTGATCCCTAGGCACTGGGAGGCGGCCCCCAAAGCCGTGCCCTGGGCAGGAACACGCCTTGGTGGCTTTGGAGACATTAACCTGGACCATCTCTTGGATCTAACAGAGAGCAAGGGAAGAGAAGGCTCGTGACATTCTGGGATGGGAGGCGCCAGCACCTCCATGGTCACCCTGCGCTCACTACCCACCACTTGCCCTCTGCAGTGGGACTCCGAGTGGCGAGTGGTACAGGGGCAGGACACACAGATTGGAGCTGAGAGAGATGGCTCTGTCCTGAGCCTGGTGGCCTCCGGATCAGCCCTTGGGCACAACATTCGGCCCCTCTAAGCCTCAGTATTCTCAGCCATAAAGAGGACTCTGCTAGCATTTTGACAACATCAATCAGAGTCTAAAATGACAATCTTTGATCCAGCAATCCACTTCTGGGACTGTGTCCCAGGAGGACTTGGGTGCCTTTGCAAAATGTGTGCACAGACCACTCACTGCAGCATTGGCTGTCGTGACTGAACAACCTGAATGCCCACCAATAGGAGACAATAAATGACAGGACAAGGGCACAAAAGGAAATGGTCCAGTCTGTCCGGACAGGATGTTAAGTGGGAAATACAGCACTGTAAGCACAGCATGCTACCATTTGCATTTTAAAAAAGAGTATATGTGTAATATTGCTTGCATAAGAATTGCAGTGGGACACACCCAATTCCCCACCCCTCCCTGCAGCCTCCCCACTTGCTGTGTGACTCTGCAGTTCCTTCCAGCAGGAACAGAGTACACCCAACCCCTCCACTCTGGTTAGACCAGGCACTGGTCTGGCCCACGGAATGAAGAGGAGGGGACAGCAGCCCGTCTGGACCTAGGCCAAAGGATCCTCACAGGCTTCCAGCTGCTCTTGCTTCGTCGTCATTGTCATTGCGGCGAGAAGACCCAGCCTGAACAAGCCCACCAGCCTCAAGATCAGGGACACAAGGGGCTGAGCTGCCCAGCAGGGGGCCCCCTTAGACACACAAATAATAACAGTGACTGCTGTTTCAAGCCAGGAGTTTGGGTGACTTGTTAAACATCACTAGTGAAAGAATCTGTTAGCATAGGTAGCTAGATATTAATAAAGGAAAGGAGCAAAGGGAATCAGACATTATTATGCATAATCAACTAGGGAAGCACAGGCTTGCTTCCCTAGGAAGTTACCGCTTCACACACTCCCCAGGGAACCACCAGCCGGAAGATCACTGGGGAGGAATAGAACAAAAAGGGGGAGGTAAGCACATGTGCAGTAGGAGCCAAGATGGTGACCACAGAGGCCTGTCAGTCTAGCCAGAAAATGATGGAATACTTCCCAAACTCAGTCTACAGAGCCAGCATTACCCTAGTACAAAAACAAAGGCATTACAAGGAAAGTACAGACCAACATTCCTCATGAATACAGATGCACAATTTCTAATTAAATATATCAAAAGGACAATACATCATGATTAAATCAGGTTCATCTTAGGAATGGTTGGTTTCACTTTTGAAAATTAATCAATGTAATTCATCATATTAACAAACCAAAAAAGGAAAACCATGTGATGATCTCAATAGACACAGGCAAAATCCGACATTCATTTCTGATAAAAGTACTCAGCAAGCTAGGAATACAAAGGGAACTTTCTTGGCCCAATAAGGGCATTTAAATTTGCAGCTAACATCATGTCAACGTCATACTTAATGGTGAAAACCCATACACTATGCCTCTAAGATCAGGATAGACAAGGATGTCTTATTTGTTTTTTAATTTTTTAAAATTTATTTTGAGAGAGGGAGGAAGGGAGAAGGAGACAGAGGGAGATAGAAACATCAATGAGAGAGAACAATGACTGGCCACCTCCTGCATGTCCCCCACTGGGGTTTTAGCCCACAACCTGGGCATGTGCCTGACCAGGAATCAAACCGTCGACCTCTTGGTGCATGGGTCGACACTCAACCACTGAGCCACACTGGCCGGGCAAAACAAGAATGTCTTATCTCCCCATTCTATACAACGGTGTACTGAAAGTTCTAGCCAGGTACCAGGCAAGAAAAATAAATAAAAGGCATCCAGGTTGGAAAGGAAGAAATAAAACCATCTTTATCTGCAGGTGACATGGTCATCTATGTAGAAAATCTGATGGAATCTATAAATAAAAGCTACTAGAAAAAAATTAGTTTAGCAATATTATGGGATAAAATATAAAAATACAAAAATCAATGGTATTCTAAATACTAGTAATGAGCAATCAATCATAAAGTGAATTGTAAAAGCAATGTCATAAAAATATAAAATACTTATGGATCAATCCAGCAAACTATGTGCAAGACCTGTACACTTAAAAACTGCAAAATACTGTTGAGAAGTATTAAAGACCTAAATAAATACAGAGATTACCGTGTTCATGGGTCAGAAGACTTAACATTAAGATGATTCTCTTGGAATTGATCTGTACACATAATCCAAATCAAAATCCCAGTAGGACCGTTTCTGCAGAAATTGACAAACTGATTCTAAAATTCACACAGAAAAGCAAAAAACCTATAATAATTCAACTTTTAAAAAGTAGCCCTGGCCAGTTTGGCTCAGAGGTTAGAGCATCAGCCTGCGATCCGGAGAGACCCAGGTTCGGTTCCCGCTAAGGGCACATACTTCGGTTGCAGTTTGTCCCCGGTCCTCGTTGGTTGTGCGGGTGGCAGCCACTCGATGTGTCCCTTCACGTCGATGTTTCTCTCTCTCTCTCCCTTCCTCTCTCTCCCTCCCACTCTATCTGTACAAAAAATGGAAAAATATCCTCGGGTGAGGATTAAAAAAAAAGTAAAACGACACTGGAGAACTAACACTACCCGATTTCCAAACTTTTTATGCTGTCACAGTAATCAAGACTGTGTGGTATTAGCATGAAGACAGACTATTTGATCAGTGGAACTGAATGGAGTCCAGAAATAGACTCATTCATCTATGACAACAATTTATTTTAGGCTCCCATATTTAATCGGATGTGCGAAGAACAAACAATCTAACTGGGGAACCTTAAGTTCTGACTTCCTGCCAAGCACATAAACATGCAAGAAACTTTGTAGGATGCTGGCACATTCACTAAGCATATTAACTCCTGAGCCAGGTTAAATAATATTAAGGGAGAGCCCATGAAGTCCTTGTTCATCAAAAGCGTCCTGTGTGATTTTAAGCCTTTCTTTTTAGCAGAGACACCTTTTCCTCTGCTCCCACTCTTTTTCCAACTGTTTCCATGGTCATGGTCTTCCACTACGACACCACGTGCGTGCGCAGGGAGCGACCAGGTCCAGCATCGCCCACGGCATAGCAGGGCTGAGCCTGGGCAGGTTTTGAAAAACATTCGGCCCCTTCCAGCGGGCCGAGGAAAGTAGGTGGCCTGGGCGCCAAAGGCTGCTGCCAATGGTACTCGCAGCTTCTGATATGAAACCTTTTTGCTTCATACAACGGATGGATGTGCCACCACTCCTGGGCTATACAACCAACCCCCCACCCCCACCCCATAGCTCCCACCTGTCCCCTGAAACCAATCATTACCGCGCTCCAGCCTGCACAGCGCCCCTGCCCCCTTCCCAGGTGCACAGAGAGCTAGGTGGCCCCATCCGGGCCAGGGCCCACAGAGGAGCAGGGCCGAGACACACAGCATCCAGCACAGTCCAGGGCCTCCAGTGTTCCGCAATGCCGCACCAACGCTGCTTTTTTATTCCCAGGACAACTAATTTTTGACAAATGTGCAAAGGCAAGTCAGTGGAAAAAGGTAGTGGTAGTTTTCACAACAAAAATATAATGTTACCGCAACTAGACATCCATATGCAGAAAAACTAACTCGATCCATACCTCATGCCATTGCAAAAATTAACTTAACATGGACCACAGGAAGAAAACATGAACTCTAAACTATAAAACTTCTAGAAAGAAACATGGGAGAAATTTTTCAGATCTTGGGTTAGGCAAAAATTTCTTAGAAATGTTTAGAAAGCCTAATCCATTGCTTGCTGGGGGTGGCCACACCTAAGCAAGACCCAGAAAAGGTCAAATTGATAAATTGGACTTCATCAAATCTAGAACTTGTGCTCTTTGACAGACAGTCATAAGAGAATAAAAAGACAAGCCAAACATGGAGAAAATATCTGCTCGTTGAATATCAGATAAAGAACTTGCATCCAGCCCTGGTTGGTTTGGCTCAGCAGTTAGAGCATTGGCCCACGGACCAAAGAGTCTCAGGTTCGATTCCAGTCAAAGGCATATACCTCGGTTGCAGTTCGTCCCTGGCCCTGGTCAGGGTCATGCAGGAGGCAGCCAGTCGATGTGTTTCTCTCATGTCGTTGTTTCTCACACTCTCTCTCTCTCTCTCTAATAGAAAAATGTCCTTGTGTGAGGATTGAAAAAAAAAGAACTTGCATTCAGAATATAAAAAGAACTCTCAAAACTCAGAAATAAAAACAAACAAACCCATTTTTTCTAAATATTTGAACAGACACTTAGATATCAAATAAGATATGCAAAATCATATGAAGAGAGGTCAATACCATTTGTCATAATAGAATTACTATTAAAACCACAGTGAGATGTATACCTATCAAGATGGCTAAAATTTTTTAAATTGACCAAACCAAGTGTTAGTGAGGATGTGAAGGAACTTGAACTTTATACACTACTGGTAAGAATGTAAAATAATATAACCACTTTGGAAAAAACAGTTGCTAGCTTCTTAAAAAGTTAAATATACACCCACCATATGATCCAGCAATTCCACTCCTAAGTATTTGCCCAAGAAAAATGAAGTCATGTTCATACAATACAAAGACCTGTACACAAATATTCATAGCAACTTTATTTATAATAGACAAAACTTCTGAAAGTGATCCAAACGTCCTTCATTGGGTGAATGGATAAAGTATAGTCTACTCATATACAGTGATACCTCGGTTCTCGAACGCCTCGGATTTCGACCAAATCGGTATTCGACCAGGAGATTCGAGAAACTTTTGTCTTGGAATCCGAACAAATATTTGGAACTCGAACTTCCAAGATGAGCCGAGTTGAGCCGAATGGCGTTCATTCGACCCAGCGCGCCTTGCTTGCGTCATCAGTGTGAGTGCAGAGAGAGTCACGCTTTGTGGAGAGAGTCACGCTTTGTGGAGAGAGTCACGCTTTACACTGAATTTAACCCTTAGACATACTGTACACTTTTATTTCTTGTTGAGACTTATGTTTTTCTACATATTATATACAAATTAGGCCAGTAAATAGGCATTTTCTGGGGCTTGGAACGAATTAATCCAGTTTCCATTATTTCCTATTGGGTTTCATTGCTTCGGTTCTCGAACAATTTGGTTCTCGACCGTCCTCCTGGAACGAATTATGTTCGAGAACCGAGGTATCACTGTAATGGAAACACTACTCAGCAGTAAAAAGGAATGAACTATTGATATACACAACCATGTGAATGAATCTCAAAAGTAACTGTGCTGAGTGAAAGAAGCCAGACCGCCCCCCGCAAAAAAAGTATATACTATATGATTCTGTTTATATAAAATTCAAGAACTAATCTATAGCAACAGAAACAGATTAGTGGTTGCCTGGGGACGACAGCAGGACAGGGAAAGTTAGATGTGGGGGACAAAGGGGAATAAGAAAACTCTTTAGGGTTGTGTATATGTACATTATCTCAATTGTGGTGGTGTATATTATGTACGTCAAGACTTAGCAAACTGTACACTTTACATATGTGCAGTTTATCATATGTCATTCATAACCCCATAAATCTGTTTTTTAAAAGAATCTGATTTTGCCAGTGATTAGAGCACTGGCCTACAGACCGAGGGGTCAAGGGTTTGATTCCTGATCAGGGGCATGTACCTGGGTTGCAGGTTTGATCCCCAGCCCTGGTCGGGGTCATGCAGGAAGCAGCCAATCGATGTGTCTCTATCACATCGATATTTCTCTCTCTCTCCCCTTTCCATTCTATCTAAAAACCAATGGAAAAATATCCTTGGGTGAGGATTTTTTTAAAAAAAGAATCTGATTTTTGTGGGGGTTTTTTGTTGTTGTTTTTTAAATCCTCACCCAAGGATATTTTTCCATTTATTTTCAAATAAGTGGAAGGTAGGGGGAGGAGGGGGGAGAGAGAGAGAGAGAGAGAGAGAGAGAGAGAGAGAGAGAGAGAGAGAGAAACACGAATTTGAGAGAGACACATCAATTGGTTGCCTGTCGCACAACCCCAACCAGGGTCGGGGACCAAACTGCAACCAAGGTGCATGCTCTTGACTGGAATCAAACCCCAGACTCTTTGGTATGAGGGCAGCCAGGGAAAGAATCTGATTTTTAAAAATCACAAACGAGCTCCCATAAATTTAAAAATATTATTCATATTACTCTGATTATGTGAATCCTAACTTGATTCTGAGGGGTGACTGGTCCCCTGAAGTTCACCCAGCATCCAGATGAAGAACACCTGGTTCAAGTCACCTACCTGCTTTCGGGGTCTCAGGGACTGAGGGACCCAGTAAGGTAGCGCTGCCTCAGCCCTGGGCACTGGTAGGCGGCCCCCAAATCTGGACTGGTACTCACAGCAGATGGGCTCTCGGTGAACAGCACTGGAGACGGGACACATCTGAGCAAGAGCCAGAAAAGACAACTGAATGGGATGCTGCATTTGTAATGTGAGCCAACGAACAGTCTGGAACAGTAAATCAATGCGCAAAGAAAGCCGGTTGAGGCAGGGTGTCCAAGGGCAGGAACAGGGCCTCGTCTCCTACTGCAGCTCAGAAAGAAGCTGGCTACCGTGGTTCACCCTCCCAAGTCATTTAGAGGGGGACCGTGAGAGCCTGCAGAACAGGTGTGCTGGTACTGGTGACCACTTACTGCCACAGTACCACAAGCAAGTCTTAGGCTCTGAAAATAGGGAAGTACAAACAACTCTAGTGGAGAAGACTGCTCTTTTTGTGATTATGTGTCAATGTGCACAGTGTTTTCCATTTGCAAAGGCATTCCACATCCATCCCAGGTGATTCTGCCCACACTCACAGGCAGAAAGGAGAGGGGAAGGCATCCTCTCCAGGGGCAGATAAAGGAGCCCAGAGCATACACATCAGAGGGCAGTGTTGGTTCTCCCAGGCCTCCTGGATCCCAGTCTCGAGGTGTCATGAAGAACTAGGGGCTAGGGATAGGCAGTGAGTGACACTACATAGAGATTTTGGGAAACAGGTGATGGCCCCTACAACCATGAACTCCCTGCTTCTGAACCCGCATTCTCTGCTCTCCCCACCCCACAGGGGTGTGTCGGGGTTGGGGTAAAGTAGCTGAGGGTTTGCTTTCCTTACCAAAAGATCTGTGAGGCACACTTCTTTCCCAAAGGTTTGAAATGTGCTCTTCCTAGAAAAGAAGAACAGGAAGGCTTAGAAAGCTCTGGGCTTTGTGTAAATTGGTTACAGGAGTGCTAGGGTGAGGGCCTGGGCCAGCCTTCTTGGAACTGGTTCATAGCATTCAAACCCAGGGGTGTAAGGGATCGTCCTTCTAAGCCTAAGAGGGGTAGGAGGTGATTACAAAAGGTGTGTGTGGGCTCCTGTGCTAATGCCGGAGGTTTCCAGATGTTGGGTTATTGCGGAATCCTGCATCCTTGAACCTACTTGGTCAGGCCCACTCCAGCTAAACTTGAGCTAGGCCCTGTGGGAAAGATAGGAACATTTCAACCTGGTGAGAACTTTCCAAGACATGGAGCTGCCAAACACATCTATGATGCTTTATCAGTCACCCCCAAGCTTACTTGGAATACTGAAGGAAAATATTGTTAAAACTGCACAATTGATTCAATTCCTTCCAGCATAAAAACCTGGGCGCTCTGCCTCTGGGGTGACAGACTCTGTTACTCTTCCTCACTCTCCCCTCAACAAATTGTAGAATGTTGGCCATATGGAATCGCCAGTGGGCATAAATGGAATGTCAAAAGTGTTTTGTAATATGAAAACCATAAGAGTAATACAAATGTTTTTGTGTTTCATTATTATCATAATTATTATTGCTGTTTTATTACAGCAATAGCTTCTGCTCATTGAGAGCAACTCATTCGGCTAATATTGAAAACACAGAGGATGCGGGACGTTGCCCTGCAAAGCATCCAAGCACCCTGCTAGCAATGACAGCACTGCTGTTGGGGGGGGGGGGGGGGGGTAACCATCTCATTTCCTGCAGCTCAAATGGGCTGGAACACCTGACTCCCCCGTGGGAAAGCTTGGCCCCGCCCTTCTCAGAGACTGGCTCAGAAGGGTGTCCTCCACCACGTCGGTCCGGTGAAACTGATTCTGGGACTTGGTGCTGTAATTCCTGGCAAGGAGAATCTGTCGAGGTGGTCAGCCTTGGTGGTCGCCTTGCCTGCAGGAGGAGCGCCGGCACACAGGAAAGCACAACCGAGAGCCGAAGAGAACAGTCCCCGACCACGGCTCCGGCGTGCCTCGGCACACCCGTGTCTCGAGACCTTCCCGAGGCACTCGGTGAAACAATACCCGCCCGTCTGTGCTTACATTCTGTGCTTAGGTGTGGCCTCTGCACTGCCTGTCGCACAAGCTACTGCCGGGAAGGACGCGGGCCGCGCTCCCAGCCCACAGGCGCTGCGGGTCGAGTGCGCTCTAACAGACCCAACGGACGCCCGAGGGCTCCCGGAAGTGCCGCCGCGGCCGAGCCACAGTCGCGGTGATGGAGGTGGGGATGCTCATTGTGATGTGGTGACGAAGGCGGAAGCTAACGGAGAAGTCACTTCTTGCGCAGACCAGCACTCCCATGCCCGCCCTCCCTCCAGACCGCGGACCGCGGACCGCGGGTCCCCCTTCCGCCCCCAGCGCTCTGAGGCCCGCCCTTCCGGAGACCAGCCCCTCGGCGTGCCCCGCTGATTGGTGCGTCTCCAGCCAGTAGAGCGCTATCTTCTAGGCATGTGCACTTAGATCGTGACTGATTGGCTCCTACTGGAACTGGCCTCGGGGTTGGTGGGTCAGTGGATCCGCCGCCAGGGTGGTCCAGCGGGGCAGGGCAGGTCGAGCCGCACCTTTGTCCTTGGTTGTCCAGCCCTGCCGCCTAGCCCGTGGGCGTCGGCCCGGAACATCTACTCACCATTTCGGACGGATTGGCCCTGGGGCGCCCCAGCCGGGGAGCAGGGGTTCTGTCCCCTGGAAGGGGAGGAGGTGCGACCCTCGGCCTTGCAGGGGCCCGGGGACGAACATCTTGGCTTGAGTATGTCACACGCAGGACTTGGCATATACTGGTATTTAAAGTTGTTCGTGGTTTTTCTGAAATTCTGATTTAACTTCGCACCCCGCTTCACTCGCTAAATCTGACAACCCTACCGATGGGCTCAAATTGTGACTTTGGGAGGAATGTGTATTTCTTGAGCAAGCTCAGATATAAAAGGCCGTGGAATTCAAAACGGCTGTCGTACCGGGGATCCAGCTGCTGCTTGAACCATTTGGCCTCGTGTCCTCTGCCCCTTAGTCTCCCCTTCACCCTCACTCCCTGCACATGTGCGTGCTCTGCGCGGTTGCTAAAATGAAAACAGGATTATGTCCTCACATTTTTGTAAAACCAAACGCTTTCTGCCTCTGCATGTTCCTTTATTACTGACTTTAATTTGTATTTTTTGGAAACGAGTTTTTACCCACTTTTCACTATTTTCATGCTGACTTTAATACTCTCAATGTCAGTATTTGCCCAAACCAACTGTAGACCTAATGGGCAACACCCCAATGTGCTGTGCTAACCATGGAGCAAACAGGGTGCTCCCAGACACTACTCAGCTTACTTGGCTTTGCTATTTAATCTCTAACCTATGAGCAGGACTGAGCTTCCAAGACAAAATACATGCATGCACTCCTGGCTGGCACCCATGCTGACTGGGCAGTGCCCCTACCATATCAGCTGCTAAATATCTCAAACATCACCCCCTCTGTGTGTTTGTAAATTTCATCACTGGTCTCTTAATAGCTAATGACAAAATTATCCAGGAAATCTATCTCATCATTAGCCTAGCATTTTGTTGTTAATCCTCACCCAAGAATATTTTTCCATTGATTTTGAGAAAGAGTGGAAGGGAGTGAGGGAGATAGAAAAATACTGATGTTAGAGACACACACTGAGAAAGGCACGTCACCTCCTGCACAACCCCAGCCTGGGCTGGGATCGAATCTGCAAACCAGGTATATGCCCTTGGCCAGAATTGAATCCGAGACCCTTCAATCCTGGGCCTGGTGCTCTAACCTCTGAGCAAAACTGGCCAGGGCTAGCCTAGCATTTTATTTACACCCAGCTGTCGTCTTTCTGCCCGCCTTGGACTGCTATTGGCTTCCCTGCTATTTCCCTTCTCCTGGGCCACTGGAACATGGCTGTAGCATAGAGGACCGGCTCATGCCCCTCAGAAGCCCTGGCCCTTACCAGTGGGACACTGTCTTGCCCTTTCATGTCAAGAATAGCTCATCACTGTCCCCATCCCCACCAGGAATGGCTAAAATTAAAAGGACTGAAGATACCAAGTTTTTGAGGATGTGGCACAATGCTCATAGATACACCCACGTTGGCAAACTGGCAGTATTACAAAACCTAAACAAGGAATACAGTTCCTTGCCCAGGTACACAGCCAAGAGAAATGAGAGCTTATGTCCACCAGAAGACATGGGCAAAAACATCCACAGCAATCTTCTGTTAACAACTCCAAACTGGAAATGACCCAAGTGTCCACAGGAGAAAAGATTTTTAAAAATATATGGCACATTCACATTGAACACAAACATGCAGTCACAGACCCCAACAAAGTAGATGAAGCACACAAAGAAGTCAGACCCAAAATGTGCATGTGATTCCACCTGTGACATTCAAAGCCAGGAAAGCAAATCCACCACTGTACCAGCTGGTAATCCAAAGGAGACCCCACCCACCCTGCCCCAAGTTTCAGAATAACAAGGGCATGATCCCAATCCTCACCCTGCCTCTTACTGTGTATAGCAGGCAAGTCTCCTAACTTTTCCAAGCCTCAGTTTAGTCAGTAAAACTAGTGAGAACCATAGAACCAATCCCACGGGAAGTTTGAGATCAGGTAAGACAGAGCATGAAAGACATCAACTGTCACTACCTGAGTGTGGCAAAATCATACCCCCCACCCTCTGCCCCCTATTTCCCTTTTCCTTCCCACTGCAAGCAACGGTTGGGTCATTGCCACTGTCTGGAAGGGAAATGGGACCAGAGAAGCATGTGACTGCCGAAGGTTTCTGTACCAGGCTTTGTTTCCAAAGCTCCAGGTCGGGCAAGGGGGTGCAGAACGAGGGCTCTGAGTCCGAGTCATGGTGCAGGAGAACCCTGCGTTCACCAACTAAGGGTCCCTGCATAAGAGCATGAAGGGGACTTGCATTTAGCCTGTTACTCAGCCTAACGGACCCACCACAGGCATAGAGTTCTATAAACTTTGTGGGTTAAATGAAAACATGATTTTTAAGTAAATCTAAATAAGAACTATAATTTTTTAAAATTTCGTGTTCCTTATTGGGGGACTTCTGAGTCAGAAGTTAAAGCATCCCTTCCCAGCTGGGGTCCCCCAGTAGGTTTGGGTTAAGACAACGCCAGGCGCAGCTGACTTGTGTTGGTGTGTTCTGTGTTAACGGCCCCTGCATTCAGGATGCTCATTTTCTCACCCATACTGAAGCCTGTGTTATTTGCCCAGTCCCCACTGGTGGACATCATCCTGTGTGACTCTGCTGCCAAACCCTTACCTTTCCTCCTCAGATCACAGGTTTCATGGTCACCCTTATTCTCACCTGTCTGTGACATTCTAGCATTCTCTCTGCAATTAGCTGTATAACTTGGTCTTCCTTGTCTCCTTCACTGCATCCTCCTGCAGTCTGCTGGGGGACACAGAGCCCACCATCCTCCTCCCCCTGACTGTCATCAGAGCGCTGACAGAGGGGGAAAGCCCAAGCCAGAGAGCCAGGTTCTGAGTGTTCATTTTCAGACGCCTCTGTCACCATCACACCTGCCTCCACCCCCCTCTCCCCAGAGGCCCCACATCCTAGTGCTTCCCCAAAGCATCCTCTAGAAGGGGTTCTGAGAAGCGTCTCACTTGCCTATGGTACCCAACAGAAGCTTGCCTTCCAATACAACCATGGAAAACTGGGAACAGAGAGAAGCTCCATGGTGATAAGGGCAGCCAACCTCTTTCCCCACCCTGCATCCTGGAGGGAACCTGAGGACAGGAATTGGGTCTAGGTCCTCACCTCGCCTACAAGATGCTCAGCAGACACTTTCTGACTATCTGAACAAGGGCAGCCTGTGAATTCCTCTGTTGCCTGGGCTCCCAGACTGGAACAGTGTCCAGGCACCTGTTGTCCACCGAGTGGTCATGGTGGCTCTGTGAGGTGGGCTCCAGGACTGAGCCACGAGCAGGCAGGTCCTGAGACCGTGCTTGGGCACATGGGCAAGAGCGGCATCAGCTCTTCTCTCGTCCCCCCAACGCAGTCCAGCAGTCCACACTCCTCACTCAGGGTCCTGTCACTTACCAGGGCTCAGGCTGTGTCAACCCTTACCAGAATCCCCACAGCAGCCTCCTGGGGGCCTCCCAGCACCTTCTTCACCTGCAGTCCCTTCTCAACATGACAGCCAGAGCCATCTTCTGAGCCTGGTCGGAAATCTCCAGGGGCTCAGACGTAGGGCCCTGTTCCGCACAATGCCCCAAGGATGTGGTGTGATCTGTGCCTGTGTGAATACAAGTACATGTGTGCAAATCTCATTTCCAATGACAGTATCAGGCAAGCTGATGGCGTTGTGGTGTTACCAAACTCAAGGGGTTCGCCACTTGGGGTGTTCTATTCGAGGAGATGTGGTTGTCATTGGGTAGTTTCATTTACCTGCAGCAAGTAAAGAAGAGGCGATTCACAACCACAGCTCTGTCCCCCTCCCCACAAGGGGGGCTTATGTAACTAAACAGTGTATAGAAGCAATGTGAACAGGTTTGGATACACTATTTGGTTAATTAAATATTCTTTCTTCTTGGCAGTTGGCTCAAGTTAACAGGTTGGGTTCTGCTCAAGTCTGTCCTTCACAGCTGCCTCTGCAAAACACTGTACTACATTTTAACATTTAGCAAGAATAGCATTTAGTAATAGTGAGAACTATCAGACCTTGGGACCCTTGTCCTGTCTAACAGTGGCTTTCTCCTACTCTCTAAATACTTCTGAGAATGTTCAAATTACCATCCAGATCTTCTCCCAAAAACAGAGGTTAGCCTGTTAACACTGGAATAGCCCATAAATGGGATGTTTCCCCCTCAAGCAGGGCAGGGTTTTGAGGACATTCTCATGGCACTCTTTTTTTTTCCATTTTTTGTTCAGGTAGAGTGGGAGAGAGAGAGAGGAACAGAGAGAGAGAGAGAAACATCAATGTGAAAGGAACACATTGAGTGGCTGCCACCCGCACAACCAACCAGGGCCGGGGACAAACTGCAGCCGAGGTACGCGCCCTTAGCGGGAACCAAACCCGGGTCTCTCAGGACCGCAGACCGACGCTCTAACCGCTGAGCCAAACCGGCCAGGGCTCTCATGGCACTCTTAACACTCAGAACACGAAGGTAGTGAACAGAATAAAATGTTCCAAAAGAACACGACTGCTTTCTGCAAGCTCTGAGTCACACATCTGGCTGCTCAGAGTCTATCCACCAGATACCATGCTCATAGCAACTCGGGAAATTTCGTTCCATGACCAACTTCAAAAAACAACAAAAGAACTGAGATTTCTGTTCCTCTGTCACTGCTCACAAGCACTAAAAATGACTCACACTGGCAGTGCGAGAAAACCTAGGCAACCCACAAACTGCAAACCAGCCGTGCAGCGACCTCAGGGTGGAGAGAAGCAGCTGGCTAAGCGAGGGGTCTTGGCTGTCTGGGCTGCAGCAGTCACCTCGAAGTTCTCAGTGAAAGAGAAAGCTGCCTGTCGGCTCGGCCCTGGGCTAGTTCTGCATGAAGCGGGAATGGAGGCCCACCTGCACCTAGCGAGTCAGACCACGGGGCGCGCTCCCGCCCTCCATGCTGGCCAGGAGGACTTGTCTGGTCCTGAGCTGCCTGGTGCCAGGACAGAGGGCGTGAGAGGAAAGCAGCAGAGCAGCGAGCACCAGCCACGGTGAGCCAGACCCCAGTCTGGACTGAGGAAGGAGTTGGTTCTTCTCCCACTGCCGGGAGGCCTCCACACCTGTTCACACGCAGCAGTGGACACTGGAGGGCTGAGCTGGATGGGCAGATATAACCGGATACACCGCCAGGCTCGTGCCACAGCTGGGGGGGGAAAGTTCATTGACAATGAGCACTGAGCCCCAAATACAAAGAATCTCCAATAACTTACGTCTGAAATCTCCAATCACATGCTCTTCGGTTGAGTAGCAGACAACAGAGCAGACATTCAGCTGTTTCTTCCAGTCCACACAACTTACCTTACCCGACCTCACAGCAAGGCAGCAAATGAAGACCGGTGCCAACAACGAAAAATGTCTAAGGACCTTTGAAGGCCCACCTGCCACCTTCCCCAAATCAAGCACCACATGGGCATTGCTGGTCCCTAAAATGGGTCATTCAGGTCCAGCTAATTCATGTAGGAAGTTCTCCCAATGAGCTGCCTGACCATTCCCTGACCAAGGGGAGCAGCTGGCACTGGGTCCCTGCACTCACCTGCTGAACTGGAAATCAAGAGCTGGCTAAGGACTTATCAGAGTGGGAACACAACATATACTCTGGACAACTGGCAGCTGGCCCTTGGCGTCACTGCGGGCCACGGCCAGATGGACAGACCCCACAGGCCCTGTGCCCTCACCTCACATCAGAGACAAGCCTGACGTGAATACAACCAACAGTCCACAGCCCAGGGTTACTCATTATTTGTAGAAACCATGCATAGATCCAAACACCAGAGGCAGGTTACATCATTTGGATTTGAGATCGGTTTTTAATCAGAAGTACTCATCTTCGATCCATGTGAGCTTTACAATACTTAGGGGAGGCCTCAGACGCGGATGGTGTTCCTTAGAGCGAGCTTCAGGCTCTGGGTAAAATAGGCATTTTCTTGATTTTATTTAAACAATGGTGAAACTTAGAGAACAGCTTGCACACCCAGTTGTCTTTCATTTTTACTTTCTTCAAAGCTTCACGGCCATAGTTATCACACGGTTCAGGGCCGGCCACACTTGGCACGAGAGGAAAAGTCATACTGCAAGATAGGAGCAGTGACACTTTTAGGCTCAGTCCTGCAAAAGACGTGAAAACTGGGAGCATGCTTCAACGTGACTGCAGGACCTGCTAGAAGGATCTGGAAGGTGAGCAGCGGGCATGCATCTCTGATGAGACTCAGCTGACAGCACCAGGCAGATGAGCCCCATGGCTGCCCAGGAGGGACCTCACCTTCTCCACCTGCCTCTCCCGGGTCTCCACAGAACCTCCTGGGAGAGCCAGTCTGCCATTTAGGGGCTGTGTTCCAAAGCTTGTTGATTCTGACACTCGGAAGCAAAAAGGTCAAAGTTGCCAAACAAACTGAAGCTAGGGCAGTGGGAATATTTTTATTTAAATAAATTTTTAAAAAGGCCAGAGAGAAACTAATGAGGAAAAGGGGACACATTTCATGAGACAGCTCAGGCTGGTCTCCACATGGAGGTACCAAAAAGCTGTCCCCTTCCCTGGAGTCCTTTGCACCGAGCCTGAGGGCTTAACACAATGCACCCAAGGACACGCAACGGAGAGGGGACAAACTCCGCCCTGTCCTCTGTGAATCACATGTGCAGATGGCACACACACACAGGGTCATAAAAAGACATAGCCCTGGCCCCAGTTCTGGGACACGTGGCTGCAGTTTGGGTTTCTAACATGAGAGCAGATACCTGTGTGCAGGGCGGTACACAGTGCGTGCCGACTGCAACTGGCTGCAGGGAAGGCTCTAAAGCTAGAGACACCAGGGCGAGCTCATGGTGCTACCAGGGCCCAGGCCCAGGGCAGTGTCCACAGGGCCACCAAACTGCTGAAACCTGCAGTGATGTTCTCCAGTGACTCCTATCACTAGCCCCATTCTCCTGATTCAGAAACTGAGATGGGGGTGAAGTGCTCTTGTCCAAAATCAGAGTCAGTATAGAAACAAAAATTCACCAAAAAAGTGAGGATAAAAAGAAAACAAAAACAAAATAAAGAGAAATGGGAACTCAGGCCTGCGTCCGGAGACTGACAGCCCCCGACTCCCTGGGGCTCTGTCTACAAACACGGGCCTCCCTACCAGCCCAGGCTGCACTTCACCTCCGCGAGGCCCTCACAGGCTGATGGCCACTTTCATGTGCGTTCTGCAGAGTGGATGGCGGAGCTGGCACCCCCACACTGGACCCTGACATCAAGACACTCAGTTATGTCATGAACTTCCCTGAAGGAGGATTTTGTTTTCCTAGAAAACTGTCAGTGAGCCAGAGACAAACTCGATTTCTCCGATTCCTTTTCTTTCTTTATAAGACATGCTCAGCTCAGCTCGGCCTTCCCATCGGCTAGCGGCAAATATGCAGACATATGTTGCACACTCTATAGAAAGTGTCTTGGGCTGAGATGCCTACAAGACGGTGGGTGTTCAGGTTAGAAAGTCTAATCTCCAAAGTGCATGCTGCTGCTCTTCCCAGGTCATGGGTTCGGAGCTGCCCCCCAACCCCGGCAGGGAAGGGGGCCGTCAGGAGGTCAGGGACTGAATGTTCTTGAGCATCTCCTCAAAGGCCTGTGGGGATGGAGCATCCGCATTCCGAAAGGTGGCCTGGACTCTGCTGTACAGGCTGAAGGACTTCAGCTCCAGCCAGATGAACCCAAAGCGGTCTTCGTCGAACAGGATGAAGACTCCCGGGGTGCGCTCAGGGCTAGTGAAGCCATGGCCAGCGATGAGGCCCGTGCCGTAGAAACTGAACAAAGAAAGAGGGAAAGAACAAGGGAGAAGAGTGAGAGGAGCCTCGAGGCACTGCATTGGCCCAAGTCAAGCACCGTGTCATCCTGGACTGTCCTAAAACACCCTTCATTCCATTCGAGCCACTTTTCGCCAGCACTTGACAGCAGGAAGCCAAGAATCAGCAGGCATCCCAAGAGGGCCCGTCCTCGCAGGCTCCTGCACAAGGCTGCAGTCCAGCGCGCCAAGCCATCGTAGCAGAGGGGCAGGGCTCTGGGCGTGCGGGGAGATGGACGTTCACTTACAGAGCACGTGAGCAGGTGTGCTGGGCTCTCCCCACCAAACACTGATTTCTACCACTTCACCCAACTAGAGGAGGAGGATCTCAGGCAGCCCCACCTCACAACTCTGACTCAAAGTGTATGTCTTATAACTCAGGCCTGGGTAACAAAAACCTTAATTCCTGGGGTAGTTATGTCATCACACAAACAATTCAAATATAATCGATAAAGACTTATTGGCATGCAGCTGACATTAACTCAGAAGGCAGAACTTTCAAATATCCATATGGCCAAGTTTCAAGATCTTTATCAGGCTGAAATACATTTGTCTTTCTTTTTGTTGTTTGTTAATCCTCACTCAAGGACAGTTTTCCACTGATTTTTAGATAAAGTGGAAGGGAGAGAGGGTGGGGGCAGAAAGAAAGAGAGAAACATCAATGTGACACATAGATTGGTTGCCTCTGGCACGACCCCAACCAGAGCCAGGGATGGAACCTGCAACCCAGGTATGAGCCCTTGACCAAGAATAGAATCTGAGAGCCTTTTATCCTCGGGCTGATGCACTAACCGCTGAGCCAAACCGGCCAGGGCACATTTGTCTTTATTGCAAAGAAGTTGGTGCTTCTGACAGATGACAAGAAATCAGGGCTGGCCTGAATCTCCCCTCATGTGGAATGGCGCCTGAGACCCCCACCGCCCCCCACCACGCTCAGGCTATGATGGATTGGAGAGGAGAGAGCAGCCTGTGGTTCAGAGGGTTTCTCAGGTGGGGAAAAAGAGCACCAGGGCCCACAGGGAGGCACAGGAATGGTCTCCTGCACAGGCCTCGCAGACACAGACCAGACAGGGACGGATCGCAGCAGGCCTTCCCAAGCCTGGAGCCCCTGAGGTTCAGGACGGGTGGAGGACCACCCTACGACTCTGCCAGGGCTCTGGACCAGAGCTTCCAGACTGTCCGGCCCTAGCATGCTTGTGAGCTAATAAAGGGCTCTTGGCTAGCCATGAGCTACTAAGAGTTGTCAAGTTTGACAGGGATAACAGAGCCTTTTTCATTTATGGCCTTTCACATGGGTATGTAATAGGAAAAACAGTGAATATTAGCCTAATAACTTTGCATGGTGACAAATGATTACTAGGCTTATTGTGATGATCACATCGTAAGGTATATAGATGTCAAATCACTATGCTATACACCTGAAACTAATATCATATTGCATGTCAACTCTACTTTAATAAAAAAGTTTAAAACTTGACAAAAAAATTTACATCAGGTGAAATTATATATCAGATGCTATTTGTATGTCTCCCTCTGGAAAAAGCAAATTTAGTCACTTCTTTCATAATTATATAACAAGAAGAAAATGTAATAAATGTTTTCCACCAAGCCTGGGTCAATACCCAAATCCCCTACAGGGAGCGTGGTGAGCTGGCGCACTGTTAGTCTATTCGGAAAGAGCCGCTTCGACCCCTGCAGACACAGCAGTTGGCCCCAAGGTCAAGGGAAACAAATCTTCATACATAACTTGAAAAGGTGGAGGGAGTCCGCTGTAATGCCAGGAGACTGACAGCTTAGTCCCTCAAACTGTACAGAAGAACTTTCTATGATGATGAAATATTCTAGATCTGCACGTCCATGTGGTAGCATCAGCCACGCGTGGCTACTGAGTATGTGAAATGTGGCCAGTGCAACTGAGGACCTGAATTTTTAATCTGATTCACTTTAGAGAAACTGAAATAGCCCTAGAGTATAGGAGACTGGGGCAAGGGTCTCCTAATTCACCTCCCAGGGAAAGGCCCGAATGGCAGGGCTGGGCCTGCGCAGTGGAAAGCAGAGGCCTGAGACAGAAACCACAAGAACAGCAAGTCAGACGAAGAGCTGGCAGCCTGGGGGAGGCCTTGTCCCAAGATCAGGGGTCGTGACCTCTGCAGGGCAGGAAGCGGCAATGGCCACCCCTTCCGAATGCTGTCTGGAGGGAGGGAGGCAGGGAGAGAGGAAGGAAGAAGGGAAGGAAGGAAAGAAGAAAGTAAGGAGAAGAATCACAGGAAGAAATAATGGACCGACTTCGGAACTACCTTCGTTAGATGGATGGAGATCGTGACAGGCCTTACCTGCAAGGGTACCCAGGCGAACTCCCAGCAGGCTTTCTACATGGAGAGCTGCGGGCAGGGGAGAGTCCTCTTCCTCACTGTCTGCTTCAATGCTGCCTGACATCCTGCCTCGTCTCCCTTTTACCTTAGTGACTCAAGACGCAAGGCATTCTAGGAGGAGTCTTCACACCTGGCAGTTCTAACAACCCCAGTCGGAGGCTCCCCGAGGGGTGTGACAGCTGACTGTACCGGCCAGGAGACAGTGCCATCTGTTAGGTCTGAGCTGAGGCTGGGACCAAGCTGTCCGAGGCTCCCGTTCCAGTGCAGCAAGCCCGCGGGCCATCCTGTCAGGGCCCAGTCCCACCCTGAAGCCGGGTCTTCGCCCACCCTCCTGTCCTTACCACATCCTGCAGGTTCGGGGGTAGTTCTCATTCCTGGAGCTCACACCCACAGGCAGAACAAACGGGACAGGCTGCTCCTGCAGAGCTGCGGCCTCTTCGTGCCTGGGCTCTCTGACCTTCGCAGTGGGTGGCCCGGCACCCTCGCCATCCTCAGTCCTGTCTTCCTGCTGCTGCTGCTCCTGGCGCACCTGCTCATGAACCTCCAGGACGATGCGGGAGAGCTCGTTGAAGTTGCAGAGGTTCTCGACGTCAGGCAGCTGGATGCGGTGCATGAGGTCGATCTCTACTGTCTGTTGCCCAGCGGGGATGTTGGGGTCACCCTGTAGAGCGAGTGGGTGGCAGTCAGCAGGGCTCAGAGACCAGAAGAAACATGCTCCAGCCTAGATCCCACCTCTGGCCAGATGAGCTCACTCCACTGTTCCTATTGACTTAGCAGCAACCCCTTAAGAATATTTTAGAAGTCCTTAAAAATTAGAGCAGGTGGCCCCATCTGTGAAGGGTCTTTGAGGAAAAAAAGGACAGCATTTACTAGTGACCTGCTGAGAGTCCACAGGAACCCAGCACGGCGAATCATCTGCATCCAGAGACCTCAGATGGAAACTAGCCTGTGTGACAGCTGAGCAGACTGGAGTTTACAGAACTGCATCCCCTCCCAGGGTCAGGCAGAGGACAGCAGGCCTGAGAGAGCAGCCGAAAGGTCTGCCTGGAATGGAGACAATCCTAACCCTGAACCCCAGGAGATCTCCCAAGCCCGAGAGTTCTACACGAGTCCCAGGAGCACGCCAGAAATCTGCAGGAGAGCCCCACTGTGCCATGGACGCAGCCCTGGTTCCAGGCTCTCATTCACAGGAGCCTTCCCAAAAGCAGAGGGACACAGGCAGACCGAAGTTCAAGAGTAACGCTTTGTGAGGATGAGGAAGTGGTGCTGCTGCTTCAGGATGCTTTAGTGCATCTGCCAGAAGCTCACCCAACAACTGTGCAAATGACAGGTGAGCACAGTGTGATTGGCAGCCTCTGGAGTGGGCAGCACAGGGCCTACTGGGCTCGACAACTCTCCAACTACTTTCACAAGCTGTTGAGGCCAGGATAGGCAGTGGGGCCTGTCTACCGCAAGGGGTCTCCAATGTGGTGGCCCTTGGGGTCGCCTGGGGTGCCTGCGGAGCCCTTATCCAGGCCCCTTCCCCATTAAATCAAATCTGTAGGAAGGAACAAGGGCATCAGTGTTTTCTCAACTTCCCCAGATATACAGTGTGCAGCCAGGCCGAGAGCCATGTGGGAAAGCAGCAGGGCTCAAAATCCTGAGATTCTGGCTGGGCGGGTCCGGGTGGGGCCTAAGGGTCTGCATTCCCAACCAGCTCCCTGGTGAAGTGGGGCCAAAGCCCGAGTCGCACTCTCCACGGCCATCCTGACAAGTCCACACAGGGCTGGACCCCCCGGCAGCCCCAGGACTTACCGTGATCTTCGTGGCCCTGGCGTGCTTCCCATGGAAGCTGAGCATGACAATCTCCAGGCCGTGGCTGCCATAGGTGCCTTTGAAGAGGCCTGGCTTGATGAGGTCGTCCGGGTGGCTGGGCGGGAGGTAGATGCGGCGGTAGGTCAGGCAGTTGCTGTGTGGGGAGTGGGGAGTGTGAGCACGGCAGGGCCCCACGGAGCTGCAGCAGTGCAGAGCCCACACCTCCCTGCCCCACCATGGGGGCCGGGCAAGGCAGACAGTCTAGCATGGCCAGGTCAGTGGGGAGCACGGCCCACCCACACGTGCATGGCACCCTCACACCTTCTGATTCCAACAAGGCGTAACAGGGGCTCAGGTGTCTCTGCTGGGTGCCCCAGGGCAGCTGGAGTAGAGCTCTCTGCAGAGGGAAGGGAATACCACCCTGCTCTGTCACCCATGTGCAGGGGACATGGCAAAGGGGCTAAACAGGGCTGTGGGGACAGGGACCAGGGACAGAGGCTGAGAAGGCAGCCCCCCAGGTGGTGTGGGAAACCGCCCCGAGGATTACGCACACACAGCAGGCCCACTAGAGCACATGCTGGTGGACGATGGTGGCAAATAGGCAGAAAACTGTCGGCGGGCCAGAGGGGACGGGACCGTGTCACAGCACCACAGAGGGCGGCTGCACTTACTCATACTGACTGGTGTAGATGAACTTCATCAGGATGAGCTCCTGCATGTGCTCGTGGAAAATGTCCTCCAGCGTCCGCCCCCATTCTTCCCTCAGCCACGTTCGGAATTCCTTCCGAGAGAAGACAGGTCATGAAAACCACCATGACACGGGGGCAGGGAGAGGCTGCTCGCTGTGCTACTGAGTGGACAGAGCAGCATTTCTATAGTTGTGGGCGATGCAGCCGGGGACACACCTATGACACAGGAGCCCACCTGGGTGGAAAAATAAAGATGGGGTTGGGCAGGAGAATGGGGGTCTGCCACGTGTTTGGTCTCCCAGCACCTGGCCTCCCCTCCTGCGGATGTGTGCCACCAGTGACGCCTGAGGGGCTGTGGTCCCTCCTGCGGATGTGTGCCACCAGGGACGCCTGAGGGGCTCTGGTCCCTCCTGCGGATGTGTGCCACCAGTGACGCCTGAGGGGCTGTGGTCCCTCCTGCGGATGTGTGCCACCAGTGACGCCTGAGGGGCTCTGGTCCCTCCTGCGGATGTGTGCCACCAGTGACGCCTGAGGGGCTCTGGTCCCTGCTGCGGATGTGTGCCACCAGTGACGCCTGAGGGGCTGTGGTCCCTCCTGCGGATGTGTGCCACCAGTGACGCCTGAGGGGCTCTGGTCCCTGCTGCGGATGTGTGCCACCAGGGACGCCTGAGGGGCTCTGGTCCCTGCTGCGGATGTGTGCCACCAGTGACGCCTGAGGGGCTCTGGTCCCTGCTGCGGATGTGTGCCACCAGGGACGCCTGAGGGGCTCTGGTCCCTGCTGCGGATGTATGCCACCAGGGACGCCTGAGGGGCTCTGGTCCCTGCTGCGGATGTGTGCCACCAGTGACGCCTGAGGGGCTGTGGTCCCTGCTCTCCCAGAGCACACGAGCCCAGACTTCAGGGGAGGCAGCAGGGACATGGGGTCCCTTCAGGTGAGGCTGGGGTCACAGTCATGTCCAGAGCTCTCGGGAACAACCGCATGAGCCTCACTCGGGTCCCACCCGTGAACCAGGAGTCGTCTACGCTGAGCTGGCCACTGCACAGCCCAGTGCGCAGGCTTCCGGAAGAGCAGCAGCAGAGCAGGACTCAGCCTCTGAATCCCATGCCGGGCGAGCTGGCCCCGGTGGTTTCTGCAGCTGCCGACGAGGAACACGATAGGCACAGCCGGGGTCGAGAGACTGTGCGTGGATTTTCCTTTCTCAAATGAGCATTCATAGTCATGTTGCATGTTCAGTAAGTGTATGCGCAAATAGGGAGCTTTTTTATAAACACTGAGGCCCCAAAGCTCAATAATTCATTATGGAATCAAACACTGTGAAGGACATTTAGTGCTTAATTGCTTGATTCTGCACATTTAACTTAATCCACAGAACTGAGCTCTTAACTCAGTATAGTGTTTCTAATGATTATCTAGAATTAGCTCTACAAACAGAAGCAAAAGCAATTTACTAAAACAACAAAAGAGTACAATCTATCAGTTGCTTTAGTATGTTACTGCCCAAAACCTGGCAAAGAACAAAAATTACTAGTGATTGAACAAAATGACTATTAGAACTACAAAGTCAATATATAAAAATCAACTGGATTTTTACATACTAGCAACACAAAATTATAAAATAAAAATTTTAAATCTTATTTACAATAGCCTAAAACAAAACCATCACAGGACTTAGGAATAAGTATTACAAAATATGTGCAAAACCTCCACTCTGAAAACCCCAACACTGCTGAAAGAAAGTAAAGAGGCCTAATAATAGTCAGAGGTCTCTATCGACGGGAAGTCTCCTCATTAAGTCAGCAATTCTCTACAAATTGACCTACAGATTCAATGTCAATCAATCCCACCAGACTAGCCTTTCTGTAGAAACTGACAAGCTGATTCTGAAATTCATATGGAAATAAAAAGAACCTAAACATCCAAAGCAATCTTGCAAAATAACAAAGCTGAAGGACCCACACTAGCTCATGTTACGACTTTCTGTAAAACTACAGTAATTAGGATGGTGGCATGAGCATAAGGGCTGACAAATATATAAACAGAAATACACAGAGAGCCTGGAATCAGACCCACATGGATGCATCTGGCAGCTGATTTTTGACAAAGCTGACCTAAGCCACCTGATCCCTACCTCGCACCATACACAAAACACTAATTCAAGATGGGTCATAGACCTAAACATAATATGAAGCTACCAAAACTTGGGGATGCGAATGGGTCTGTCACTTGAGGATAGGCAAAGTTTTTTAGGACACAGAAAACGATAACCATTAAAAAAAATTTTTTTGACAAATCATACTTCATCCCAGTCAAAGCCTTCCACTTAAATGGCTCAACTCATGGAGAGAAAAGGCCCTTAAGAAAAAAATCAAATAGATAAATAACAGATAAAAATGGAAGCAAGTGAATGTAATGAACAAAGATTTCAATGTTGCCATGGTGAAAAATCAGACGTGAGCTATGTGCCACAGAGAAGATGGCTTGTGAATAGTCCTAATCTCATTTATTTTGCATGAAAAGGCCAAAGTCATTAGGAATACCAACCAGACCCAATTACTCAGAACAAAGAACTGTGAAATACATATGTTTATTACAAAATAACCTCATAAAGTATATACACATAAGGAGAAACACAGGGGCCTAGAACATATGAGAACCCGTTTAAAATGTATCCAGGGCTGGCTCACCACGAGCTAGCACTATACTATATGATCACTGTCTTACTCTGCACAACAACTAGGAGATGGATGCTAACATTTTCCTTTTTCTATAGAGGTTTGCGACTTATAAAAGTAAAGAGACCTTTCCAAAGTTGCGCAGCTAGTAAGTGACAGAAGTCCACATGCTAACTGGTCTTGCCTCCACCAAGGTCAATACCAGGGCCAACAGGAGCATGGCAGGCAGGGCTCACCTGCCCCGGTGGCTGTACACAAGGACCATCAAACTGACAACATGTAACAAGAATCTGGAACATCGTCAGGGCCTGTACCCAGCAATTCCATTTCTGCATGATCCAAAATCCAGATAAGATTTTTGCACAGAGTTCAGACAGTACAGTGACACTAATAACACCTGGCATCTTCCTGAATGGCTCCAGCCAGGCCTAGTGCTAAGTCATTCACCTGCAGTATCCTATTCAACCCTACCAAATCACTTGGTAATCGTATGACCCCATTTTACAGATAAGAACTGAAGCCCCCAGAGGGTAAGTCAGTCAAGCATGTGGTCAAGAGGGTAACAGGAGAAGAGTGAACATTTGAACACAAACCCCATGTCCACCTGCAGGTGAATGGTTACATCCAATTATATCATAGCACCATGAGGGAATGCTATGCTGATGGAATGCTATGCTGAACTAAAAATAAATCTTGTAAAGGGTTCTAACAAGACTGGAAAATACCTCTGGAGTAATAGTAATACTTAAAAAAAAGAAAAAAGCCCTGGCCGGTTTGGCTCAGCAGTTGGAGCGTCGGCCTGCAGTACAGAGAGACCCGGGTTCAGTTCCCGCTAAGGGCACGTACCTCGGTTGCAGTTTGTCCCCAGCCCTGGTTGGTCGTGCGGGTGGCAGCCACTCGATGTGACCCTTCACATCGATGTTTCTCTCTCTCTCTCTTCCTCTCTCTCCCTCCTGCTCTATCTGAACAAAAAATGGAAAAATGTCCTTGGTTGAGGATTAAAAAAAAAAAAAGAAAAAAGATCCAAGTGAGAGAGTTAGATTTTAATTACATCAGAAATGCCAAAACAAAACAAAACAAAAACAAACCCATAAAGGGAGGTTGGAGAATGGACTTGAAGACAGCTCCTAAGTGGGGCTGCACCGGCACTTTTTCCTGCCAGATTCTGCTTATTTCCTATTTGATGATGATAAAGCATCATTTTAGTACCTGGATGATTACTTCCCCATTTCTGATCCTCCCTGCAACCCCCAGGTTTCCAGAAGCCTCAGGAAGAGAGGCCTGGACAGGTAAGGAAGTCAAGTGGTGGCTGGGCCTTGGCCATAATCCATGAAGACAAGCCGGGCAGCATCTGCATTGTGGAGGCAGAGTCTGGGGTGACCCGAGGGCTATACTACTGCTCACAGGGATCTAGGAGACACAGCTGTAGTTTGCAGAGCACAGGAGAGGGTCACATGAGGCTCAGGCAGAGGACGCTGCAGCCCTGAGGTCACGCCACAGGACAGCCTGGATTTAGCCTTCAGGTGCACAACGCTGGCAGAAATCCTGGAACCATAGTTTGCATGCGAGCAAGGGGGAGAGGTGGCAAGCCCTGCGGATGCAGTTTATGACCCCATAGGGCTGGCTTCTGGTACTGATGAAGGGTGGAGCCCACGTGAAGAGGTGGGGAGGACAACTTCATGAGCAGGATGTGAAAGGAAGCACAAGCTAGCATGAGCCATCAGACTAACAAACCGGCTGAGAAATGCACCCCCCAAAAATACACAGAAGCTGTAATGAGTGTTCTATATTTTAAAAGTTCAAGTTTTTCTTAAGAAATGGCAATATTGTACTTGCTTTGGCAGCACATACACTAAACTTGGAACGACAGAGATTAGCAGGGCCCCAGCACAAGGATGAAATGCAAATTAGTGAAGTGTTCCATAGTTTTAAAAATAAAATAAAATAAAAAAGAAATGGCAACACTTTGAAATGGCAGTATGACTTACATCCTTAGAAAACCACAACTACGGGACAAGGTAAAATTACTAGTGCAAACAAAGGGAAGCACAAAGAAACCCCTAGGTGTAGCTGACACACAGGTTTATCCACTGTTCTACCTGGTCTGAAACTGCAATCACCAGGTCCACCTGCAGGGAGGACAGGGAGGTTCTGAGAACAGCCTCTAGTCTCCCTGCAACTCACCTCCAAGAAGAAACCTGCAGAGTACACAGCTCTCGACAACGGGGTGAAGGAGAACTACCTAGTGAACATGATTTCCTTTTGGTCATTCACTCTGAGGGTTGGCGGGTATGTGGTATGAGAACATGGGCCCCTTCCCAAGCTCAATCCCCCCTCCCCCCTGTGGGCATATGATGATGAAGGGCATCTGTGATGGTGCTGCGGGACGCTGGGAGCCTGGCCAGCTCCTTGGTCTAGGAAACTACCAAAAAGAAACTGTTTTCAGCTGAGCCCGGACTGAAAACGGCGGGCGCTCTGATCTCACGTAGCCTGTGCCAGCACGCCCACCCTGCATGCCCGGCGTGCTCTGTTTCTGTGCTCTGTGGCACCTGCACCGGGAAAGCCTGTGCTGCAGCGGCTTCCCCAGCCTGCACCCCTGCAGTGAGCACAGAAGTCCTCACAAACTCCTGTCTCACAGTCAGTCCTCCGGGGTATTTTTTGGAAATCGGCGAGCAATACATTGAGGTTTTCTCAGACCTCGCTCTTTGCACAACAGCGGGGAAACAAAAACCTATGCTTGTGTGCACATATCCATACGAGGCCATTTCTGACAAAGGGGTCAGACACACTTTCAGCACCAACAATGTGAGGATGAACTACGGGAGAGGGCCCTCTTGGTGGTGGCACGCTGACGATGTCAAACCATTCAACCTCATGTCTGCTCCTTGCGCACGGAAGGGGTTCTGGCTTACCTCCTGTCGCCCACCAGACATCCTGTGGTGCTCTGTCTGGTTGCACTTGGTGGAGAACTCGTCCTTCTTCACAATCTTGAGCATTCATGACAAAGCAGAGAGGGGAACAAATCAGTCACGACATGATGAGCCACCAGACGATGAGCCCCTCCTAACCAATGCACCCCACTCATCCACAGAAGCCCACTATGCCTCCAAATCGTGACCAGTCCAGGAGCTCAGAACCATCCTGAGCATGCACTTCCTCCTCAGAGGAGAGAGGTGCTTGTGCTTTGCCAAGGGGATTTTTAGAGCAGGAAAATGGGGCAGTTGTTACGTAGTGTTAGAGGTTTTGAGAAAAGAAAAGTAGTGAACTGTGGTTGGAAAGAACAATGGTTTTTATTTTATTTTATTTTATTTTATTTTATTTTATTTATCCTCACCCAAGGACATGTTAGCATTTATCTTCAGGTAGACCGGGAAGGAGAGAGGGAAAAAGGGAAAAAGAGAAAAAGAGAAACATCAATGTGAGAGAGACACATTGACTGGTTGCCACCCACACGATCCCAACCAGGGCGGGGACAAACTGCAACCCAGGTACATGCCCTTAGCGGGAACCGAACCCGAGACTGTCTGGTCCACTCTAACCACTGAGCCAAACCGGCCAGGGCAGAACAATGGTTTTTAACTGGGTGCAGCACCAGTGGAAGGTTCCAACTAGTGATTCTTTGGGGAGTTACATCACAGCACCATAGCATGAATAATACACAGAAGGGGTGGAGGTGCAGCCCCGTTTCCTCCCGTTCCCCTGATCTGTATGGACACAGGCTTGTAAACTCAGCTGGCACCGGGACCGGAGAGAGCAGAGGAAACCTCGCCCTCACTGCTCATGGCTGCAGTTCTCAGGGAGCCAAGCACACTCACTTGGATGTGGCCGTTGTGGGGCCCTCTGTGGCCATACATGCACTCCACGGTGGCCGACTTCCTCTCCATCAGGTGGACTCTAAACAAGGGCTTGAATCGCATTGGGTCGTCCACATGAGGGTCATGGGGAGGCAGGTACATCCAACCAATAATGAACAAGCCGTCCACCTGTGGTGAGGAGAAAGGGTGCGTGTCCACGCGAGGTGACAATGAGGCACCGAGGCAGAGGTTCCTCGCCCTGCAGCAGTCCATGATGCCCACCCACGTTTCCACACTCCAGTCCCACGGAGAATCTCAGGGCCAAAGACATCAAGATGCCCCTGATCTATCACAACAGGACAAGCACAGCCTCGCCACCAAGTGCTGGTTAATTAGAAAGTAGTTACCTAATGTAAAATAATGTGACTATAGTTCACAACACTACTTCATCACTGCAATGTGCTGAGAGTAGTACTTAAACGTGAGGTGATGGATGTGCTCATTAACCAGATGGTGGGACTCCCTTCACAATGTCTACGTAGATCAAACCGCCACATGTGCTTTATAAATCTTACAATTTTGTCAATATATTTCAATAAAGCTGAAAAAAACACTTTTTTAATATATAAAAAAAGCAGTTAGACCTGAATTCCAGAAAGCCTTTTAGAAAGAACTTCCAGATCTAAAATGGGGGTGGGGAGCTAAATGACACGAGGAAAAGCAAGCAGAATAATCCAGGAAGTGACACCCAACGGGACAACCGGCCTGAGTAAAAAAATGGGAGCGCTGCTTTCAACAGGAGGGGCTCACGGGGCAAAACAAACAAGCGCAACGTGAGGGCCTCGTTTAGGTCCCAATTTGAAGGAACCAGCTGTCAAAAGGCAGGTTTGAGACAACCAAGGAGCCTTCCATATGGACTGAGTCTCGGGTAATATCAAGGAAGTGCTGGTACTTTTGCAAGGTATGATAAGAATGCGGTAGACACGTAGAAAAATACTCAGATTTTTAGAGCCACACTGAAGTACGAACAGATAAAGTGGCACAGGCCCAGGATCTGCTTGAAATTGCCTGAAAACAAGCCACCAAGGGGTGGAGACAGAGGCCACAATCTTGGCACACCATCGACAACTGCTGAATGCAGGTGGTGGGCATCAGCAGTTCATGCTACTGTTCCCGCTGTCCTCGAGTGTCTGAAACAGTGAGTGACGGAAAGTGACAGAGCTCAAATCACAGGACGGCGCAGCCCCACACACTGCGCTCCGCGCAAAGGCGCCACGTTCTAGTGGAGGGACAGGGACAGCCTCATTTGAGATGACCCAGCAATCACTCCTGCTTTCCCAGGAGGGCCTGGTCCATGGCTCCTACCCCTATCGACAGAGGAGGAGAGGAATCGATCACTTTAGTGGCTGACTAGGCTGAGACAACAGCCAGTAGCTACTGTTCAGTCACGGGTTCCATTTTCCCCTAATTGTCCCCTGCTTTCAGAAGCTGCTTTTTTAAAAAATTTTATTACTCACTGCCAGTATGAAAAACACTCATCACCAGTCCTGACTAAAAGGAAAAAAATATGCCCACACCGAGAGTTGTCTGGCTTGTCCCTGAACGTTTTCAAAGCAATGCTTTTCCTTGGTGATATTAAATATAACACATGTAAAGTGTGCTTCTTAATGACTGTTTGCACCAAATACTAAGAATATAAGGCAATATTTATCCACCTGGTGAGCAAAATACAGTGACAGAGTAACCAGCGTGACCAGGGGGCCCATCTGGACCAGGCTCGGAAGAACCACACCAAGGCTGTCCAGGGCCCCAGCGGCCACTGTGAGGCAGACACACGACCATTACACGACGTGCAGCCAGCCCCCTGGACTGGGCTCAGGCAGGTGCCAGCAGGAGGGAAAGCAGAAGCAGAAACCAGGGCTCCCCAGGGGCAACTGACTGTTTTACTGCGACATCAACTACAGCAACACTGGGACCCAAGTGCCTGCCCTGCCCAGAGAGTTGGCAAAGTATAACTGTACATGCCCGGCCCTAGGGCTTCTGCTCAAGAGCCACATTCGGAGCATATGCCACCTTCACGGCGGGGAAGACAGCTGCTCTGCAGAGAACCAGCTGGGGCCGCAAAAATAACCTGATGGGAAATTCCTTGTGATTACTTGAACATCATACAGAAAGTAGCTGACTTCCCCCTCCGGTGGAAAAGGCACGGAGTCCCTCCCGTCCACGTGGGGCAGCAGCCCTGACTCACGAGAATCCACACCCGAGGCTCCCAGACTTACCACCACGTTCAGCAGTCCTCCATACGGCCCGATATCTGGCTGCCACAACCCCAAGATGTGTCTGTATCGGTGCAGCACTACAGGAAGAGAAAGAGGTTTCACTTTAGAGCCAGCCAGTCTTCACTGTATAGCAAGTCAGAGGAAAGGGCAGGAGAAGGGAGAAATTATGAAGAAATTACGAAGAAATTACGAAGGCTTGTAACAGAGCCTTGTAAACAAATGTGGACTTAAGCAAATCTTACCTATGAAAGTTCCTAAAGAATTCTAAGAATAAAAATGTTAACTGGGTCATTTTGAAACCCAGCCTCTATGTGAGCAGCTCCAGTGACAGGGAACTGCTGTCTTGCAGGACAAACTGAGTGCCTCTATGAACTGATAAGCCTTCCGGCACTTTACACAACTGAGGAAGTGCAGGATTCTTTAAAGGGTGGGGGTCGAGTTTAAACTGTCATGAACTGTTTATTAAGAATTAAGTCAGGCCCTGGCCGGTTTGGCTCAGTGGTTAGAGCGTCTGCCTGTGGTCCAGAGAGACCTGGGTTCGGTTCCCGCTAAGGGCATGTACCTCTGTTGCAGTTTGTCCCCGACCCTGGTTGGGTCATGTGGGTGGTAGCCACTCGATGTGTCCCTTTCACATTGATATTTCTCTCTCTCTCTCTTCCTCTCTCTCCCTCCCACTCTATCTGAACAAAAAATGGAAAAAATGTCCTCGGGTGAGGATTAAAAAAAACAAAAACAAAAACAAACCAAAAAAGAATTAAGTCAGGCCCGGCCGATGTGGCTCAGTGGTTGAGCATCAGACCATGCACCAAGAGGTCGCCGGTTTGATTCCCAGTCAGGACACATGCCCAGGTTGTGGGCCCGATCCCCAGTGTGGGGCATGCAGGAGGCAGCCAATCGATGTTCTCTCTCATCGATGTTTCTATCTCTGTCTCCCTCTCCCTTCCTCTCTCTCTAAAATTAATAAAGAAAAAAAAAAACCTTAAAGAAAAATGAATTAAGTCAGGTCATCTCTCTTTTTTAAAAATAGGGCACTTCCCACCTATTTCGAAAGCAATGCATGCATATTCACTGAAGGCAACTGGAGAGAAGGAAACCCAGTGCCAGCCTCAAATCCCTCTACAGAGATGATCAGCTGCAGTCAACATTCTGGAAAATGTCCTTCACTTCAATTTCCTTTGCACATGTACTTGAGTGAATAAATGAATGAGTTAAAGGGCAACCAACTTATACAAAGCCCTGACTACAGGCGATAGGGTCTGGGGTCTCTGTGCAGGCAGTGTGTGGTGGTCAATTCCACACGCCCACTGCACTGGGCCATGTTATTCTGGATGTGTCTATGAGGCTGTTTCTGGATGAGATTAACATTTAAATCGGTGGACTGAATAAAGCTGACTGCTCTCCCCAGTGTGGTGGGCCTCATCCAATCAGGTGAAGGCCTGACCAGAAGAAGGTTACTGTACCACCAGCAAGAGGAAACTCCTCCTGCCTGGCTGCAAGAGCTGAAGCATGTGTTTTCTAACTCTGAACTCTAAAAATGGGCTCCTCCTGACTAAAAGAAGAGGCTAACCCTTCTGCAAATAAAGAGGACTTTCTTCCTACCTGACCACCTTGAGCTGGACACTGGTTAGAAGTGGCCTATCTCCTCACTGTGTGGTGAGCAACATTCTACCAAATTCCTTGTATCTACTTGAGCAATCTGGAGCACAGCCAGAATTCTAGGTCAGAACCTCAAAACTCAGAGCCCTACGGTTACAGTTATTTTTAAGTTCAAAATGCGTTTTGACAGTCACCATCAGTTTGCACACAGGGATGTGTTAGATAAGTCATAAGAACACTACATCCCCCATGACACTTCCAACTTCTTACAGACAGGAATTACCAAGAATATCAGGCAACGAATGCCCTAGCTGGCGTGGCTCAGCAGTCAGAGTGTCGGCCCTCAAACCACATGGTCGCAGGTTGGATTCCCGGTCAAGAGCAAGTACCTGGGTTGCAGGTTTGATCCCTTGTCCAGTTGGGTTATGTGCGGGAGGCAACCAATCAATGTGTCTCTCACATTAATGTTTCTCCCTCTCTCTCCCCCAAACCCCCTCACCCAAATCAAGAGAAAAAATATCCCTGAGTGAGGATTAACAACAACAACAAAAAATATGGCCTGATATTGAGAAAAATCAACAAAAGTGACACAGCAAAAGCAACTAATCTGAGACCACAAAGCTCCTAACAGTCAGAATCTGCAGCCTCAGATGATGCTGATTTGCTTCTCTCCAGGACAGTGTCTTGCACTCAAGACTGCTGATTTTCTCTGCTCGAACCAACAAAGGCCCAGAGGGTTTTAAGAGACCAGAGAACACAAGTTCTCCACAGCTCCAGCAACAGTGCAGGGTTCCAAGTACCTCACAAGCCAATCGTCACGGCAGACTTTTCTGGGAAGTCTGGCTAACAGCAGGGAAGAAATTCTGAGCTGTACTCCATCAGAACACTGTAGAGACTGGAATACCAAACACCTGGGCACAGAAAGGTCTGAAATTGGGGTTGAAATGACTTTTTTCCCACGTTAACTTTTCTCCCGACAGTCATGGTGGTAACAGACTACTCACAGTTCAAATGCGTCCAGAGAAATGCAACCAATGCTTACAAAGGGTTATTTTCATTATATTTTCCAGATCCTCCAAGTTTTCTGCAAAGACCACTGTATTTTTATGACTACATTAAACCTCAGAGAGGACGGCAGTCTCCAGTTAGAACAGTTTCTCCTAAGCTGTCAGCTACCGGCAGCTGGGGGTCATCACAACATGTGGCTAAGGTCCAGATGCTCTGGAAGTCGTCTCCTAGAAGCGTGGTTAAAAGTCTGGACTCATGACACATCCTTACAAGCTACAGAAAGCTTCTGACCACCCCCTGGGAACAAAAAGAACACACCCCCAACACAACTCTAGGCAATTCCTAGGTCCCGGCCACCGAGCCTCCCTCCCAGAGCTGGGTCAGAATTCCATTCCTGGTCTTAGGTGTAAGTCCCAGATACACTGAAGCTCTGGAAGAATCCTGTGCGTATGTATGACATAATGAACCTCTAAGTGCTTGTCCATCTGTATTTAAAAGCCCATGCCAGGCCATTCCCGGCAGCACAGCTGTGGCGACAGATTGACTGTTCTCATCAGTAAGCCCTACGTAACACTCTCTCCCATGGGCCTGGAGAAGCAACCTTGGTTCACTGACTGCTAAGCAGAGAGGGCAGTTAGTTTATCACAAACGTTTTAGAGAGGCTACTTCTAAACGTGTTTGGAACATAACAGAATTCATGCCTTCAGACTTGCCTCTGCCTCCGCCAACTGCTCATACACACTCCTGACGAGGCCCCCTTGCCACAGGTCTTCACTCAAGCAGTTCAGCCCTGGGCCTGACTGTACAAACACAGTTGTGGGGTTCACTGTGCACAGTGCCCAGACATCACCCCAAAACTTGCTGACCAGTCCTGGCATTTCCACATCCTCTGAAGTAAAATTGGACCAACAAGCACTTTAGCGACATGCCCAGAGCCTGGGAGGGTTAGGAGAAATTCCATAAATGACTCTATTCCTTGTGGTCCAGGTAGGTTTGTTAGAAATTGTGCACTTGTAAGACTCAGAGGTGGGCCTGGTCCACGCAGGCGATGCTGACACAGGCACACTCAGCGCCGCTGAGGAGTAAGTACAGGAATGTCCCTGTACTTCTACCAACGTAACATCTGCTTTCAGTGCAAGCAGATATTTCTAATATCTTTCTTGACAACTGAAATTCACACTCTCCATCTCAGCTCAACCTAATAAAAAGTAGAGACAGCCTTAATCACTATGGAATATGGCTTAGGAAAATTTCCAGAGCCCATGTAATACCAATCAAGAGGAATCAGGTTCCAAAAAATCACATTTCTATATACTTCTGTCTCGTGTGTATATAGGTCCATTGTATATGCAATTTTTTTCAAATTCACAGATGCTGTCCTAACGCGACTGACTAATGAAGCCTAGAAGTAAACCACTTACATTTCATTTTCAAATCGAAAGGTTTTAAGGCTTCTAATTCTGTTCTGTCCTCGCAGCCTCAATAAATGATAAATGTTAAAATGTGCGTCACAGCCCTGGCCGATTTGGCGCTGTGGTTAGAGAGTCGGCCCTTGGACTAAAAGGTCTTGGACTTGACTCCCAGTCAAGGGCACATACCTGGGTTTCAGGTTTGATCCCGGGCCCCAGTTGGGGTCATATGGGAGGCAGCCCATCAATGTGTCTCTCTCACTTGGATGTTTCTCTCTCTCTCTCTCTCTCTCTTCCCCTCCCTCCCTTCCACTCTACCAAAAATTAATGGAAAAATATCCTCATGTGAGGATCAACAAAAATAAATAAATTTTTTTAAATGTGCATCAACAAAGTGATTGTGCTGGTATTACCCTGCAAAACAAAAGGTGCTGCAGAAACCTGGCCCATATCAGGTGTTATCCTGGCCATGGCCGAGCCCCAGAGAACACTGCAGAAAGGTGAAAAGACAGCAAAAGCCAAGGTCAGCTCGCTCTCAGGACCAAAGCATCCACGTGCTGAGTTAGAGGTCCCTCTCCATGCAGCTGTTCGCCGTGCTCCCCGCCAAAGCCAAAGTAGCAGGAGGTACATACGGCAAGTGTATACATCTCTGTACTCCATGTGCTCGTAATCGGGAAGAATTTTCATGAAACGTCCTGACTTCACGCGAGGGTTTATACCTGAACAGACACAGCAGGGAAAGGGCTAAGGATGGTTCCGCTTTCACGATGGTATAAACAGTTTTCATGTGACTCGACCTCTCCCTCACCACCATCATATGCAACCCCTGGTACCTTGGGAGGCAAGCACTTGCTCAAACTAAGAGGCCTGACTAGAAAGAAAACGTGATACATGTTCCCTTTCATCAATGGGTTCATACCAGAAACTCATGATGGCAGCAAACTTGGAACACTCTCCACGCTCTCTCTCCTCCCTCAACTGTCACGTCAATGGAGCTCACTGAGGCAGGAGAGCGGAGGGCGCGGCTATGGATATGTGGAGTGACTGCTTAGGGAACCCTTGTGTCCCAACTGAGATACTCAGCTTGTACAGTGAACGCCTGGCACTTTCTTTCACTTGTGTTTGTTTTGTTTTACGCCGTCTGCCAGCTCCTCACGCAGACCCTTGTCCTCGGAGTCAGGGCTGGCTCTCTCCCACCTACGCCAGGGGCGAAGACCGCGTATTCCAGAAGCTGAGTCACGCTCTCCTGGATAAGGCCTTCAAAGCAAACTCACAAAGACATGTTCTTGCACTGAAACCTGCTGTGGCTGGTGGCAAATTAAACACTTTGGGATACTAAATAAAGATAATATGAATTATCTGGATTTCCCAACCATTTTCAAGGGGTCAAGAATCGGCAGTCAAAAGATATCTCCAGATACCCTCCTCCGTTCACCCATGTCCTCACCTGTATGTGTGTGTGTTCACTTCACCGTGGCCCTGGTGCCCTCGCTGTTGCCAACCTCCTGACTTACCCCTGGCCACACCATGCCCTGCTCCCCAGCAGTCACTACCCACCTACAAAGAGACTGTTCCTTCACATGTCTGCTGTCTGTCCTGCAAGCTGGACCTGAGCCAGAACGAAGGCTGCTCTCTGCTAACCCCCCTTAGAGACTGTCTGATCGTAATGACGTTCATTCAGATATAAGTCAGCACCTCCCTTGCCTCCTACTATGTGCTGGTTCCTGGAACAAGTTGACCTGACCTGGTCAAGCATGGAAAGTAACTTCCCGTACCTAGTAGCTCTACATACTAGTACCTGTGACTATCACCCTTTTACCCTATATAATTCTTTGGTGCCTGCAGTGTGGGGATCTATTTCATCCTGCAGCTGCCCAAGACATGCCTCATATGTAAGTTTCCCCTAATAAACTCCACTAATTACCAGACTGAAGTGATCAGCCTCTTTCTTCACTCTTTTCCCTGCCCTCCCCTATGCCTGCCGACCTGTGCCTAAGTGTCCCCTCTACAGGACAGCCACCAGCAGGGGCCGGCCACCCCCTCCACCCACTGCTGAGTTGAGCTCCATGGGGGCCTCATTTAACAGGTGTGCTGTCCTCTGGGTGTCACAGCCCCTAATGCCTGGCAGATGTGAGCACCTGCCCCCCTCCAGGACACCATTTTAAGTGCTCACAACTCTTAAAGACAGAACAGTCTTCACGCTGCTTTAAGACAATATCATCAAATGGCCCAACAAAACTCAAAAAGCAGTTATTGAAGGAAAGAACCTGTCATATTAGATACTCATAAAGCCAGCTGTCATTCACAAGAGCCAGGAAACACTTCTTGTGTGTATGTGCACAGAGACTGCTGCAGCAAGAGCTTGGTCATGACTACAAGCCTGACGACAAGGTGAATTCCTCCAACTCTACGCTCCGGCTAGATTTAAGACACTGAGCTCTGGGCACACAACGGAGGAACCGAGGGTAGAGCCAGGACTGTGTGGGCGCCCACAGGATAAAAGGTGGGAGGGGAGCAGGGGAGCAACCAGCTATCTGCCTCTGAAACTCTGGGCTGACAGGACAGGAAGGGTTACACTTTCATGCGACATGACCACTCTGGCCTCCCAGACTTACTTCCTCTGGAGAGACGCATCTTTCTGGGGTTGGTGGGATGTGAAGCAGAAGCAAGAGAAGAAACCAAAGTCTGAAAGTGCAAGAGGCAGGAGGAGCAGGGCGGTCTTGAGCACATCAGCCTTGCAGTGGGGCCCTGGGCCAGGGACAGCAGCATAGGAGGCAGCAGCCAGTGTGAAGATGGTGGCTGGGGACAAGGGTGAAGCCCAAGGCCCACAGAAGGGGAGGAGTAGGGGATGCTAGGAGTTGGTAGAACTGGGGCTGAAATGTGGCAGGGCAGAGGGGTCCCAACAACAGCCTCTCCAAGGCTCCCTGAGGCAGGTGGGAAGGGACAAGAGCTTGAAGGGCACGGCTGAGCCACTAAGAATTATGCATGGAAGAGGAAGGTCCATGAAGAACTCAGAGCCTTTTGACAGGAAGTAGCCCCAAGTGTGAGCAAATTCTAACCCAACACTCTAATCAATCCAACACTCCCAAATGGCCACGGGATCACAGTGTGGAGAGTCTCGGTGGAATAAGGAAATGACGAGACGATAAAATCAGTTGAGATACAGGGACTGAGCACCACCCATGCCTCCTGCTCAGCCGCTCTGCAGAAATGCCATGCACTACCTGCGCTGGAGCGCAGTCCCATGAAGGAGGGGCATCTCAGAAGGGGACTGTGACAGGAACAAATCCATGGAAAGATGGAATAGAGAGAGTGACCCCAACCAGCCCCGGGCCCTGGAAGAAAGCTCGGAGCACTTCAGCAGTCAGCAGCCTGGCCCATAGTGAAGCCTCATCACCTGCCCACTACTCGGTCCTGAACCACACGTTTCCTTGGAGAAACATGACCCTCAGTTCCTGGGTATGGGACTTGGTAAGCAGACATCACCTGGTCTGCTTTCAATGGAGAACTGGGTAGAAAGCTCAAAAGACTGTGAAAACTAAAATCTCCTCAGATGGTTTTAAGATGAACACTTAAGGTCCTTTTCAAAGAGGTCAACAGGTCAACTTTAGGCCAAAGAGAACTGGGTCACCATTGTTTTTCTTACTCTGTTCTTTAATCCCCAGCCCTGGGTGCTCATAACGCATGCCACACCCCAACGGAATGGTGAGTGAGTAGGCTGCTCCGGGGTGAAATCAGGGCTAATAGGAGCCTTCACAGCCTCCTGTGAAGGGGCACAGAAGAAAGGCCAGCCGGGAAGGTATCTGGGGCTGGGGAAACTTGGAGCACCCAAGAAGTGTTGCTGATGACTCTGGAAAGTAAAGGCACAAAGAACAGAAATGTGGAGCTGAGGGGCTGACACATCCAGAGGAAACTGAAGGGAAAACCAAACTGAAGGGCTGGAGCCGTTCCAGGCTGGAGGGAGGACAGGGCCCACAGGCAGCCCTGGTAGCAGGGAGGCAGCAGGAGGCTCATGGTTTCATTTCCCAGTTACTACCAGCCATCTGCACATCCAATCAGGCTGGGGGTCCAGAATGCAGAGAAAGAGACCCCTCTGGAAGCACCCAGAGTTTGTTTCCAGTGCAGACATGTTTCTCAGATCTAACGGTCCTTGACACCTAATATCCTGTGATGGGCTGAAAAATAAGGGTACTGACACACCCAGAAAGGTAGAGAAGAGAGCCCCCCCCCCCCCCAGTTTTGGTGCTATTACTACCCGTGCTGTCTTTAAAATGTCACTCATGCCCTGGCCAATGTGGCTCAGTTGGCTGGGGAACGTCTGTGCCCTGAAATGTTGCCAGTTCAATTCCCGGTCAGGGCACAAGCCCCAGTTGGGGGTTCAATTCCCAGTAGGAGTAATGCAGCAGGTGGCTGATTGATGTTTCTCTCTCCCTCTCCCTTCTTCTCTCTCCCTCTCCCTTCCTCGCTCTCTAAAAATCAATACAAAATCTTTAAAAAAAATAAGTAATAAAATGTCAATTTGACATTAAAATTAAGGTGTCCGAGAATGGAATTGGGTTTTTGGTAAAATTAATTTATTATCCATGGTTGATGTCCACGATGTCTGCTCTCAGATTGAAGTTAATGATGGATGATATTAGATTAACTTACGCTTCGCGTAGACGTCTCGACAAGACACACCTGTGATCTCCAGCTTCCGCAGGTTTTCACAAACACCATACTCTGTAACAAGAAATATTTGCTAGACGTTACAGTCAAGAAATCACAAAGAACAGCAACAGGCAGAATGATAGGCGGAGGAGGAGGAGGGAGGGAGGAAGCAGGGTGCATGCCTAAGCCTTGGCCTTGTCTTGCTTGTCTGATCACACAATCCCAAAATCAGACAATCCCGTTTATGAACATGGCATGGCAGAAATTCAGTGTTCTAGAAACAATGCATGTTCCCACGAAAATGAGATTGTTATTGGTGTCAGGGTTCCACAAAGGTCCCTTTCACCCCCAGTTTGGCTCACCACATTACTAATTCTATTAAACAAAACACAGGTCCTATGACTGAAGACCCAGGCAAAACACTGGAAGGAGGAGTGGACACTCTACCCTTTTGCATTGGGCTACCTTAGAACAACAGACAATGAGGGGATCCAAGCCCTCCCCACTTATCTGGCTAACAACACACATCCTCCTCCTTCCTCCTCCCTGTCCCTACTCTCAACCCCACCATGGCCCCACTTTTCAAAATCAACCCCCTCAGCACTTCCCAACCAAAACCTTGGGTCCTTCTGTTCAGGTCTCAGCAAGGCTTCAAAAGGAAAACACTGTAACTGAACTAATTTACACTAATACAGAATTGCCTGTTGGCCAAGAGCTAATAATGACACCACCAGCCTCATGCTGGGCACCATGCCAAGCTCCTTCTGGGCACCACTGCACTCTACCCTGCCAGCAGCCCATGAGAGGTGCTATTATCATCTCCATTTTAATAATGAAAAAAATAGGGGCAGAGAGGTGACTGATTTGCACAAAGGAGCATGGGCTCACAATGGGGGACCCAGAATCAAAGCCTTGATGGTAACGCCTCACAGTGGTGAGCACAGCTCTGGCACAGGTGTGTGCTCAGCAAGCGTTTGATGAGGAGAACGGGTCCCCTAGGACCTCACAGTAATAACCAGGACTCTCATGCACTATGCTCATACCAGGTGCAGGCATTCAACTGGGGCTTCACAGGACAGCCTAATAACACAATCCTGACAATCACCTCTAAGGCCAGGACTAGGGCTGCCTCTCGGGGAGGGAAACAGGCTTGGCGAGGCTGATGACTCAGCAGTCATCTGAAATATGGACTGATGCAGCCTGACCAGTTGCAGAACTGCACTGTCCCTCATCTCATTACTTTCGATCGTGCCTGAGGTCTGGTCTTTTCAACAGAATGAATGACATTAACCCAATGCTTCTATAACTGTTAGGATTTTGAGAGTAGACAAAGTCGAGCTCAAAACGCACACAGACTAGACAAGTAATCTGGGGCGAGGTGGTTACTACTCTGCAAAGCCCTTTGGTCAGGACTGCCCAAGGGCCCCTGCTTTTCCCTACCGCCACTACTGATGAACAGACGTTAAGATAAAGACCTGAAACCACGGCCTTGCTCATTATCAGGCAAAATACATCTGTTTTATCCTTTTGCCAAGAGGGATGTGAATTCCATTCTAGAGGATTACGTATATAGCTTATAAGCACTTGTAAAGAAAGGTAAATCAGCCCCAGCCAGTTTGGCTCAGCAGTTAGAGCATTGGCCTGCGGTCCAAAGAAACCCGGTTCCTGTCCCACTACGGGCACGTACCTCGGATGCAGTTTGTCCCCGGCCCTGGTTGGGCCGTGCGGGTGGCATCGATGTTTCTCTCTCTCTCTTCCTCCTACTCTATCTGAACAAAATATGGAAAAATGTATGGGTGAGGATTAAAAATAAATAAACAAATAATGTGGGCATGTAAGATGAGTTGATCAGCAATCTGAGACCACAGCTTGTCAAAATCCTTGCAGATCACCCCTGGTCGGTGGAACAAACGGGAACAACTGATCTACCCCATTCTCACTGAGAAGAGCTCTGCTCTATATTAAACTGTCCTCACACTTTTCTGTGGCTCTGTGATGCCAACTGGCTCCTCCTGAACACTACCAGTCATTGTCACTACTCTGTCCAGCTCTCCATAAAAACACTTTGTCCTTCTCTTGTACAATGATGCACTTCAAAACTGTTACTGCATAGTAATATTGGTGCTTTGGTTTGTTTTCTGTGTGGCTTTGGAAGACCAGCTCCTTTTCCCAGTTCCAGCATGCCACCTTTTCCCAGTTCCAGCATGCTACCAGTGCATGAAGCAGCCAAGGACCAGCCTCTTTCTGCCTTGTTGACAAAGCGGTTTGACTGTGGGGCAGGAGGTGTGGGAGGGTGTCCTCCTTTGAATTGCATGCTTTTGTAATATGTGTCAGTGCTGAAGGCTAACAGTTACATACAGGGCAAGACCTGAAAATGCATCCATCTGTGCTCTTGTTGCTGATGGCACCTGAAATCAAAAGCCAGGTCTTTTTTGAGGCACCGAGACTGTCCCCCGGGCATTCTTCTGCTCTCAGACTACAGAGGGCTAGTGATTTGGTTTATGATTCCTATGAGTCCAATGGATATTCTAACTTGAGAGAAACTACCATTGCTTGCCCCTCATTAATCACTTGAATTTCTGAGTGATTCTAAGGTTTTTAGCTTAGATGACCAAATCACATAAATCTCTGTGTACTTTGTCAACAAATGGTATTGCTAATATCACAAAGGAGATGAACTTGCACAACCAGATAAAGCATCTTCTATTAACAATCAGAAGAACCCTGGCCAGTTTGGCTCAGCAGTTAGAGCCTCAGCCCACAGACCAGAGAGTCCCGGGTTCGGTTCCTGCTAAGGGCGTGTACCTCGGCTGCAGTTCGTCCCCGGCCCCAGTTGGGGTCGTGCAGGTGGCAACCAGTCGATGTTTCTCTCTCTTCCTCCCTCTCTCCCTCCCACTCTATCTAAAAATAAATGCAAAAATGTCCTCGAGTGAGGCAAGAGGTTGCCAGTTCGATTCCCAGTCAGAGCACATGCCCAGGTTGCAGGTCGAGGCAGCCAATCCAAACATTGATGTTTCTACCTCTCCTCCTCCTTTCCTCTCTCTAAAAAATCAATAAAAACATATTTAAAAACTCAGAAGAAAAGCAAAGTTATGATGTAGTCTAATGAATACAGCAATCCTTAGTGGGTTTTTCTTAATGTTCCCCAAAGATCACAACAAATCCACCAAAGTAGAATAATGTCATTGTGACCCAAATGTTTCTGTAAGAAATGTTCGGTGTTTTCCACATGATGGAAAAATCTTTTTTTTAAAAAGAGTGGCCAAGAACAATTCCACATCCTTTGATTGTTCTATAAACCTTCCCATAAGTCATTAAGAACAAATGCCCTGAAAATAGCCTTAGGGCCAGTGTACGTGCCAGAACTGCATATCTTCCTTTCAGAAAACTAACAAGTATTAACTCCATCCTCTGGCAGAGATCCGTCTGAATAATTAAAAGTTACCACACCGAACCATGCTGCCTATTGCCACTCTTTAAGTATGGGATTTGGTGTTCCAGGCCATCAGTTCAAAAAATGTCCTTGCTAATGTAGCACATAAGGTAATTTCTGAAAATCTTTTTTGAAAGTGTCTAAACCAAAGATGGCAACAAAGTGTCAAAAAGTTGGGAAGGGGAAGAAAAATGGGTGAACTGGACTTGAGGAAATTTCTTAAATCAAATAGTCAGACTCTGCTAAAGAATCTGGTGCATTTTCTCAAACAATTAAACATAGAATTACCATATGATCCAGATATTCTACTTCTGGGTATATAACCAAGAGAACTGAAAGCAGGGATTCGAAAAGGTATTTGCACACCCATGTTCACAGCAGCGTTACTCACAACAGCTCAAAGATGGAAGCAACCCCAGTGTCCACTGACAGATGAATGGATAACTAAATGTGATCCATCTATAAACTGGAATATTATGCAGTCTTTAAAAGGAAAGAAATCCTGCCCTGGCCAGTTTGGCTCAGTGGTTAGAGCGTCGGCCTGCGGTCCGGAGAGACCCGGGTTCGGTTCCCGCTAAGGGCACGTACTTCGGTTGCAGTTTGTCCCCGGCCCTGGTTGGTCGTGCGGGTGGCAGCCACTCGATGTGTCCCTTCACGTCGATGTTTCTCTCTCTCTCTCCCTTCCTCTCTCTCCCTCCCACTCTATCTGTACAAAAAATGGAAAAATATCCTCGGGTGAGGATAAAAAAAAAAAAAAAAAGGAAAGAAATCCTGACACATGCAGTAACGTGGGTGGACCTTGAGGATGTTACACTGAGTGAAATAAGCCAGTCACAGAAGGGCAAATACTGTATGATTCCATTTATATAAGGTCCCCAGAGGAGTTGAATTCATAGAGACAGAAAGAAGAATGGTGGATGCCAGGGACCGGGGAAGGGAAAATGGGGAGTTTATTTTTAATGGGAACAGAGTTTCGGTTTGGGAAGATGGAAAGAGCCACGGAGACGGACGGAGGGCGATGGCTGCACAACAATGTGAATGACTACTTAATGCCACTCCACTGTACACTTAAAAATTGTTAAAATAGTAAATTTTATTTTAGGTTTGTGTCACCACAATAAAAAATTAAATTGCCACTTCAAATATTCCAATCTGAAATTTTCCAAAGAGCCATTTGAAAAATGTTTTGCCAAGAGTTAAAAAACAACCCAGTAGTTTGGCCTGAGTCAAGTCAACAACGAAGCTGCGCGTAGCTGCCAAGGGCTGCCCACCCCTCATCACGCATTTCCTGTCCAGCGAGGCCAGTGCTGTGTGATGGGGCTAACCGAAAACTCTGTCCCATAACACATTTCTTTTTTTTTTTTTTTAAATCCTCACCTAAGGATATGTTTTTATTGATTTGGGAGAGAGAGAGAGAAAGAAACACCGAAATGAGAGAGAAACATTGATGTGAGAGATAAACATCAATCTGTTGCCCCCCATACACACTCCAACCAGGGATCGAAACCAAAACCTAAATCTGTGCCCTCACCAGGTATGGAACCCGAATGATACTCCAACCAACTGAACCACCCAGCCAGGCAGCACATTTCTGAATATGCACCGAATCTAGTCAGTCTCTATGGGTGGGAATGGAGTA